CACATTTTTCAAAGGATTCGTATTCAATATTGACTTTTCTCTCTGCCGAACTTCGCTTTATATGATGGATTGCGGGGCTGTGTTTCGGTTTCGATGTATTCGTTTAGTACGCGACGCTATTTTTCCTTTAACGTTTCTACTGTAACCGACAACAAGCACGTATCCCTCAACAAATCACTCGACAAGAGTTCTTACTTAAACCTCTCAGATAATCCGCCGCGCAAACTTAATGTAAATGTTAATTTCCCTAAAATCTCCGTTCGCGCTATTTACGGCGACAAGCTCTTACGAGATTCCATTTTCTGTTTTGCTTTTTACGAAATCGGGTTCAACAGCGTTCGTTCCCGACCGGCGAATTCCAAATCCTTTCGGATCGCGTCGTCTGGATAGACGAGAAAAAAAACTCGCTCAGACATACGTTCGTGTAGTTAAACCATTAGTATCTGCGATAGTCTCACTTTGAGGCTTTCCAGGTCTTGAAATACGCACTCAAAGCTCTGTTCCAGGCAAAGGGATCGCTCTGGGGGGTGCTCGAGATCCCCGATGGTGGAAAGCGGACCCGTTTCGTTATTTCGCATTAGCGTTCCCCAGGCGATTGTTCGAATTTTGTAATGGACCATCAACTTAAAAGATAAAACACACATATGTATAGGTACTACTTATTATCTTACCTATGTGCACGTTTGTATAGCAAACTAGGTAGTATATAATGTTAGCTATGTGAAACTCGTTTTACGATTTTATTCCCTTTTTTAACATCGCTATATTTTTACATCATTAATAGGTATTTAAAGCTCTTTCAGGAATTTAATGCGCCTGCACCTAACGAATTTTTCAACGTAATTTTCCGCGTTCTTCTATTCCATTCATTCATATTTTAGGGCTTAATATAGAAATCATTGCGAGCGGGTATTGATTGCGATTCGAATCCGAATCGAATAGGCAATAAAGAAAATTAGAGGAGTTGAAAATTTTTGCGGAAGATAAATCCGAAGATGTTCGAATGAAACGAAATAAAAAACCCCGAAACACTAATGGAAGGCGTGCTCGCGCTCCGCTTCTCGATTTTGATAAAAAAAACTTTTCTATTCGATTCCGCAAATTCCAAATTCACTAGCATATTTAAGGGAATTTCGTCGATATTGCGAATTGACAATAATGGCGTTTTCCCGAAAATCGTTTTCCGAATCTCGTTCGCCAGCAGCGGGAAAAAATCTCCCGAGGAACGGGGCGAGCCTCTCGCGGCGAAAATATATCTTATAAAAGAGAAAAATAATTACGACCGCAGGCCTATTTGTTTCGTTCATCGCAAAAAAGGACTCCCCCGAGGTGGCGAATAAAGCACCAACAACGAAAATTAGTAGCTACACGCCGAGCAGCGTTCGAGGATTCGTCGAAAAATGAAAAATTTTTCATCTCTCGGTAATTTACGACGCGAACAATTGTTTTCGACAAACATACGGAACAGGGGAATTATTTCGAGCAAAGTGTTAAAAACAATAATATTCTGAAGCCTAATGCGCCATCGGCGCTTTACAAACATTTTTCTAAATTGCATCTATACGGCATTTTTACTACAAAATGCAATTAATATTGCAATAGAAATCGACCATTAAAATTTTTACTTCCGGCGATTTTACCATCGCTTAAGTGAACTAACGAATTTTAATAGCTAGTTGGGCGAGTTTCCCGGCATCTATAAATAAGAAATTTCGCGGTATTTAACGGAGCAACACCATAAAAAATAATAATCAATAAACGTCTAGCAGGGTTTTTAACGCGAAACAAGCGATTCCATCGGAGGTCTAAGATCTTCGCCTCCCTAATTGATTAAACGAAGTTGCGAACTCGGGTTCGAATTTCGCGTAAAGCACGACGAACCGCGCAGAAACTTCCCTAATTACTTTAAGAGCGCCAAGTTACCTTATAGTGTAAATGCGAGGTAAAGGTACAAGTAAAATTGGGTTTTTACTGGCAGTAATATATTGCGCTTAGGTATGTCTTATACAGAGTTGGGCAAAAGTCCGGAATAAAATTATTATCTTTTGAACCAGTAATTTAAACAAAAAACGCCGAAACACGTAAATTGATTTTATATTGTACGGATTTGTTGCCAATAAAATGATTTTTTTTTTCTTCAACCCCTTAGTTGCAACCCTACCCAACTTTATTTTTTAAATACAAAGGTATGTCGTGTGTAGGGTCATTGAAAAGCCCGTGAAAAATGGAATCTAAAACATACCTTTTTTTTTATTTTTCTCATGTTGTTATTTGGAAATGAGCAAAAATTTCTTTTAAAAACAAAAAAGTTACAAATACCTTTTTAGTGCTATCGACGTAGCAATGTTGAAAATGCCCTTCACCATCTATTTGACAGGCTCCCAGGCATTGGTAAAACGTAATATCGATAGCATATCTTTAATTCTGAATGACTTTTTAATAAAAACAGGCGAACCTTTGGTAAAAAAAAACTTGTACAAAAATGCAACACCTGTTTTCCTTTTTGAAGTTCACTGATCAACAATGGCTTAGATTTAAACCCATTTTATGTTTTTGTTTTTTCTTAAAACATAAATTTCAACGAATGTTGATGCTAAATTGCCTTATCCAGGCTCGCCTGCTTTTAATAAAAGTTCATTCAGAATTAAAGATAGGCTACCGATATTAGGTTTTACCATTGCCTTGGAGCCTGTTAAGTAGAGTAAGCCTTAATTCACACGTCGATACCACTAAAAAAGTATTTGTAACATATTTGTTTTTAAAAGAATTTTTTGCTCATTTCCAAATAACAACATGAGAAAAGTAAAAAAAAGGTATGTTTTAGATTCCATTTTTCACGGGCTTTTCAATGACCATACACACGACATACCTTTGCATTTGAAAAAATAAAGTTTTACCATTGCCTTGGAGCCTGTTAAGTAGAGTAAGCCTTAATTCACACGTCGATACCACTAAAAAAGTATTTGTAACATATTTGTTTTTAAAAGAATTTTTTGCTCATTTCCAAATAACAACATGAGAAAAGTAAAAAAAAGGTATGTTTTAGATTCCATTTTTCACGGGCTTTTCAATGACCATACACACGACATACCTTTGCATTTGAAAAAATAAAGTTGGGTAGGGTTGCAACTAAGGGGTTGAAGAAAAAAAAAATCATTTTATTGGCAACAAATCCGTACAATATAAAATCAATTTACGTGTTTCAGCGTTTTTTGTTTAAATTACTGGTTTAACAGATAATAATTTTATTCCGGACTTTTGCCCAACCCTGTATAAACTTTGTAGTATTCGTATTATAGGATTCGACAGAGTGTCGTTTTCCTTTTAACAAATATCTACAATTAACAGAATGATACTAAAAACTAGTAAATTTTGTTAGTAAACAATTTATTGCATGCAGATAATAGAGCTGGATATAAAAAAAGCATAAAACCTGAAGAAAATATTATTTACAAAAAGGAAAGAGCCGCTTTCAACGTACCTAATGAAATTTGTTATTCTGAATAAAAGCCTAAAATCTCTTTTAGATCCTCTCGAGTTCTCGAGTTACCTTTTAGAGCCGTACGACATTTTACCTGTATCTCTATCGAGAAACAGTATTGGAAAAGTGGTTGTACTGTTAGGGGAAATCTACTTAGAAAGCAGACTCCTATACCCTTCTAGAGACTTTTTGACGGAGATCGATAGCGGTTGGAAAATGTAGCATCGTATTCAAAAAATCCGTTTTATATGTGTTTACGAACATATTACATTATGGATTATTGGAAATTTTTTACTTTTAACAAATTATTATACAACTACATAAGTAAGTATAGGTATAGTTTTTAATGAGCAACCTACTTACATTATTTATCTATTAATATTTAATTCAATAGATATAAATGGAATTGTAATTTCCCTAATTACTTATAAATTCATAAAAATTTTAAATGATTGTGGATAGCTAGGAATATTAAAATAATTACAAAAAAATCTGTAACAGTAATTAATTTTGCGGTAATAATTCTGGCAACTAACCATTTAACTAGGTAAAGCGGTCACCATTAATCAAAAGCCGTGTTATCTAATCGTTACCGAGAGCAAAAACCGAAATCCGTATCGCTTGTCACACCAACTCGAATATCGCAAAGGCATGTTCCCTCTAATATATCACAACTGAAAAGTTTAACTTTACCCAAGTCAAGCGAAACTCCGACTTTATTAAAATAGTTGGCGAATTTAATTGCTCGCGTTCTGCTCGCGTCGTTAATCATCGCCTGTTTTCTTAGATCTCGTTTTCTTTATAAATCGCGGTTCTCCGAAGATACCTAATCTTAAAGGCGTTTTAAGACTATCGGCGTTTAAGAAAAAAATCAACCAAGTAGATAACAAAATATATGTATAAAAGAAATTTTATAATTTCGCCATAACTTCTCGCCATGTCCGCCCGAATTCTGGTAATGCACCGTATCATAACCGCATTAATTTCATACTTCCGAGCGCACACACCAGGTGTTAACTTTGAAATACTACCTTAATACTGTAAGCCCCAAAGTGCTTATTTTCTCAAAAGCTTATAGTAGTTTTCCGCAATGCGTTAAATAATGCCGCTCTTGCATTGTGTCTTTAACGATAAGCTACTTAAGAGTTTCACACAATGGCCGTCTAAATTGGAACAAGTCGGAAAACCGCCGTTCGGCGGAGTCATCTCTTAAGAATGAGCAGCATTCGAAATTTCCAAGTTTCGGTTTTAATACCATTGTCAGAGTTGAATGGAAATATTTGGATAATTTAACGTAATTTGACTTTCCTATTTTCTATTGTAACCGCGCTGGAACTATTGACAATGCACTAAAATTTATCCTGCTCTAACATCCCCCAAACATTCTTCCACTTCTATTTCTCCCTTCTAAAGATAATATTTTTGTAATATAAAATAACTTTACTTCAACAAGCGCATTTTTGATCCAATTTACTTGTTGATGTTTGATTTATTTAGAGTGGAATATTGATTGTTGCAGATAATTCAGAGGGGTTAGGCGCGGTTCAGACCACCGAAAAGGAGACTGGGGGACACATGTGCTCGGCTGGTGAGCCGCCCCGAGAGGAGGGGCCATGCCATGCGAGCTAGTCTGCCCCCAGTTACGAAGGCTGCTGAAGAACCAACGTCCCCACATTCATGTGCACCAATTCTTCCATACTGACGGTGAGAATGCAAGCGTATTTCCTTAGTTTTTGCGCGCTCGCGTCCTCGATTTTAGCCCCAAAGATTTATCGCTAAATGCAGGTGTCGTTTATTTTAGCGTTAAAACTGCGCCGCACGAGACTTATAAAAATGTTAGAGTGCTTCTCGCGTTTTTCTTTCCATTAGGGCCCGTCGTCTTACGAAGCGGAGCAGGCAAAAGATATAAAATATAAATACAAAGGTAATATTTCACGTTTTTTTAGCGCTCAGATTTCTCGGTCAACGCCGTTCCCGAAAAAAGGTGCGATAAAAGTTAAATATTTTAGTAATACGTCGAAAGCTCTAGTTTACGATATAACATATTTTTGGTTGTATCTAAGCGAAGGACAATTTCCTACGTGTGGGTAGCTTGGAAGCAATAAATGCATTAAGTACATCAACGCCGACCTCGGGCGAAACACCAACTAACTAGGGTAAAGGAAACGCACGTCCTGTAACAAGATACTTAATTGCTTTACTACGTCGGATAGTGTGATTAGATTGTTGCAAATTCGCCTGCGATTTAATTAATTATCCGATGTTTAACACATCGAATCAAAGGTCAGATGACAGGAATTCCGAGATAGAGTTTCGACGCCATGTTTGCACGTTGGTGCAGTTTGTAATTAATATCGAAGGGTAGTTAAATAACGTACACAGCTATATCCACAGGTAATGTATACACAAAATGCCCACAGTAATGAAACATTACCCTAATCGGTTTACATTAGACCTCAAAAGTTGAGATTTGGTATTTATGCAAAGTTGTGTATCTATTGCTCGCTTGTAACATTTATGCAAATTGCTGTAGACAAAGCTACGGTTATTATTAACTTTTATAGCTTTCGTTACACGTGTACTAAAGAAAAGAGCTAAAACCCGAGCGGCACGACCTCTCTATTAACCCACCAGTCATCCGGCAGCTTTCCAGTAAGAAACGTTTTCGCTTTACTGTTCACCGTAGCAATTAGATATTCTCTTTACAACGTTATTTCAACAAGTGATTCGACCGCGCTTTACGTGGGATTCGCAAATTAAATTTTACACTCCCGATTTCCCTTCGCTCCACGCAGCAAACGGGTAGATTACTAATATTTTTCGGTTAGGTACTTGTTTCTTATTTACTTTGGTTTATTGTCACGTTTCAACGTGAAAATTTGCTAAAAGCAAGCAACACGATAATTGCTACCTGTACATTGTGTTGTTAAAATGAGAATTTCTGTTGTATTATAAAACTCGAATCGATTCGTTTATTCAGCGATGGGTTATTAAAAAAGGGTAGATTTTGATGGAGTAGACGAGGATTATCGTCAACTCGTAACCCTAAAAATTCTATGACGTCCGTTTTTATTAATTGGTTCTAACAATTTACCAAATTTGATGATCATATTGACTTTTTTATTGTTTATTGTATTTATTAATAGTTATTCTGGCAATGACAGTTTCATATCGTTATGTGGTAGTAAATTTGTGACCTAGAATGCTTGGGTTATGAGATTTTCTCCAATACTAAATACGATTTTCTTATTGAGCTTTCCGTTTGAATTCATAAATTTATTAATAAATGCGAGATAGCCACCTTTTCACTAAATTTCAATTTGTGAGGCGATGTTCACCAAAAACGATTCAATAAATGAGAAGATATGCACATACATAGCGTTATTCTCACGGGAATTGCTAGCCTGCCCGATGTCTATCACAGAAGTTTCCGAGGCGCGGTCTAAACTAATCATCCGATCCATCGGTAGTTTTGGAAAAGCCGGACATGCAACGTCAAAAACATCGCGAATACCTGCGAATCGGTTTACACCGATTCGACTTCTAGCTAACACGATTTTCCCATTGGATTATTCGCGTATACGCTTTGTGCGCGCCTTTGTGTGCAAGGGTGGAATATTTGTTTAATGTAAAAACTTTTCACGAAATTAGGATGACACACTTTCGCGTTACCGCCGTGTGTCATGGCGTGTTCCATGATCGATCTTCGTTATGGTGCTAGGTTAATATCTGAATACCTACGTATAGTATACGTTAGGGATGTTGAAATTGAATTCGGAATGATGTAGTAGAATGTTTGAGTGGTAAAGTTTAGAATTCATGTTTTTTGCGAGGGATTTCTAATTCACGTTGGTTACAATTATAAATATTAATGTGCTGGAAAGTTGAGTAAAAAATTATTCGAATCGAGATTTCGGTAGTAATAGGGAGGATTAAATTAAAATATGCGTACCTGATGCAATTTAATGCTTCCATTGCTTCAGTTTGTTCAGGAAAATCGCAGCGAGGGTTATACGCTAATGGCGTATTTTATCCTTAATAGCCCCATTATATTTGGCGAATATAGAGTTACCGAAACATTCCTAACAGGCTACAGCTCGTATATACCTATATCTATAAATTTAAATAAAGTTGCAGTTAAACTAAGATATTTTTTATCGTAATTAAAATGCTTTAATTACGCTTGGTTCTTGAAAAAACGAATTCTCGCACGAAGGGTTAATTAACGCCGAAACTCCTTGCACTTTATTAAGCCCAATTAAAAAGCTTCTACAACTATCTCTTCATCAACAAAGAAAACCTGGTACTTGTTAGTTACATAAATGAGTGGAGGGTGCTTATTGTTGGCCTTGTTCATAAACGAGCATCGCTTTCACCTTGAACTACAAATTCGCGAAAGATCGTTGCACGTAGAAAGAATAAAATCCAGGACATAAAACCTACTAGTGTCGGGAATGAGATTATCACTTTCCTTTTAATTATCCTACATAGCGCGAGTCATAAAAGACAAGGTCGCAGGAGAATAAAGTTTGTTAATATTTTTGGTACAGTTGAATGTAGTTTTATTTTTTGTAAGTAAATTGTATAAAATAAAATATAAAATTTCAATTTAATGCTTTACGACGTGTGCACATAATGGTACGTTGCAGCGATGAATCTTCTGCATTGTTGATGATAAATTGCGAGCACAACGACTAATATATCCAACATGTTTAGATTAAATTTTTGTCAAGATTTACGGCGCTTCACTTGCTTTAGTCGCCCTTTATTTTCTAATATTATGCGAGAGTATTATTCCACACGTATTCGGAGTTCGTAAAAAATGTATATTACTTTCGTCTTTTATCTTGTACAGACGGTTCGAAGCGAACGTCTAGGTAGATTCGACTTTCCATTTTAAAACTCCGAAATGTTTATTATTATTTTTAATTACTACACCAGCCACTCGCAACTCTCCCAGTTTCTTTCCCAGTCCCAGTTTCTTTCTTATATTCAGGTCGCACCCTCATCTCTCTAGTTGTTGACGTCTCGATTTCTTTGAATATAAAAGAAGCGCGTTTTCCCTTTATAACGCGAGGACCGAAGAAAAAATATTTCGTTAGTAAATGTAGAGAAGTTTATAAAGTGGATAAATTGAGGAATTTCTAGACATAAAAAGCGTTATCTGTACATTTGTACAAAGTTATTTCTGTATAAATCGAAAATATTTTTCGGAATCGTTGAAATTCTCGTTATATCCAGCAGATTTGTTGGAATTTATGGACGAAATTCGCTGTGCTAAATTCAAGAGTTACCTACTTTTCCACAAATATTATCCGCCTGGCGGAGCGTGTATGGCAATTTTAACGTACGAGGGTGGTATGGTAACGAAGAAAACGCAATAAATTCTACTTAATTGAAAGTTTTCGTGTTAGGTTGTTAACCGCAATTTGTGTACGAAACTGGGAAATCCGGAAACTTTGATATTATATACTTCGGTTTTTGCATATTGCAATGAGAGGGTACGAACTGTGATGTAAAAAAATAAATATGGTTTGTTCATGGCTTGTAGGAATATATAAATTATTGTAAATTATTCTATTGAATTAAGTTATAAATTTCAATGAATTTGCATTTAGTAGTAGATATTAATGTCATTTTACATTAAATTAAATATCGAAAAATATTGCATATTGGATTGAGCAAACTCAATTATTGATGTTTTATTGCCTTTTTTTAACCTTTGTTATACATACAATTTTACAGCAAATTATAAAATATCAAACAAAAGTGAACTAGATATTTACAAATGTTGTTAACATTGCACAAAAGTATATTATGAAGTTTTATTTCAATTGTAAATACTGCGAGGACTGTTAAGCTACAGCTGTTTTATCGAAAACATCAAAATTTCAATTTCTATTGGCTATTGTTTCGTGTCGAACCGTAAAATATAATTGCGTAATTTAATTATCGTAGCTTCATTATGGATTAATTAATCATTCCCGACCACAAGCATATATTTTACTCGGTATTATTTCATTCGGTTTGAATAATAAATTTACCTATCCAGTAAAATTGTTTAACACGAATATAGTTTAATTGGAAATTGCAAAATTTCCATATAACATTGTAAAAAACACCAATATATTTTCACAATTTTATTGCAGATTCATTTAAAATTTTAACTTCGTTAGAGAATCGATTTCGTTAACGTCAAAATTTAAACGACATAAAGGTAATATATATTCTCCTTTTTGCCTTTTTAGTAATGCTTCATTGCCGATTATACCTAAACCAATTAATTCCGTCGCCTTTGAGCCACGTTTTACATCAAATGGAGTAATTACATATTCAAAATGGAAAAAGAAAGCATAGCTCCATTATTAACTAAAGCGCTTTCTCTAGACGGCTTTAATGCGTTTTATAATTTCAGTTTCAATTTTCTAAAAATATAACTTTTTTCAAATTCAACCCTTGTATTTCGTTTAATTTGGAAAACCTAAAATAGCTCTAATGCAATTTAAAAATAAAGCTATCAATTATTAATAATTCTCCCGGTTAGGGTACCTATACTCACCCAACTTATTAAATATTTGCAGTAACCTAGTCCTATTCACTTGCGCTATAGGTATATAAATAGAGTGCCTATTCAATCTTTTGTAAATAGGTTACTTTGTTTTAAAGCAAAGTATATAACTCACATTAATATCAATAAAGCACTAAATTTCTAACAACTCTTTTGTTGTGCACGAAACAGCCACTTCTCGTAAATCCATTTTTTGTTCTCAAACTTTCGAAACAAAAAAGTTCTGTCCTTCCTATTCCTGGAAATCAGGAATGAAAAATTAGTTGCAAATTCTGAAGGCTTCCATAAACTTCTCAACCTTTCATTAATTAATTTCGCCTATTAACTTTATGAAAAGCTTTTTAATAGCCCCGAGTACTTCTGGTTATTGAGATAACAGGGCGTAAATCGTTCAAAGAATTTCATAAAATTATATAAAAAAAAACATAATTCATTAACTAGATTGCGTGTTTAGTGGCGTAATAATTTATTTCGACGGAAGGGAAATCCCATTAGTATTTTATTTTTCTGCGACGAAATTAACGTACTTCCATTAACGCTTTCCCAAAGGTTTTATGACTATTTTGTTTTTATTTTCGTGAAATTTCGTTTGACAAGCAAATTCTATTTTTGGACAAACATTTTTGATATAAATACCTCTTATGAAATTTTAGTTAGTACGAAAAATTTTACATCTCCTAATTATTCATAATAAAATTATACAGTGTGTGTCACGAAGAGGGCCCATTAGAAGTATCTGGAAAAGTAGTGGTAATTCAAATTTGAAAATTTGTGTACAAGTATTAGTCGATGCGCTCTATTCAATGATAATATTTTCAACTTTTCTTTACTTCCGGTTATACCGGAAATGGACAGCAACTTTGTTATTTTAAATGGGACACCCCATATATTAATATATTTTCGAAATGTACGCAAAATTTTAGAGTGCTTTTGTCTAAAAAACTTTTTTCAAAAATGCATACTTTTTGAGTTACTAATTTTTTTTTGAAAAATTTGACCGATGCAGACCCTTATAAATTATTTTTTTACGGGGGTCCCTTTAAAGATATGAAAACGGTTTCTGTAGGGTGGCCACTAGCAAGGTCAAAGGTATTTGAATTTGTGTTAAAAACTTTTTATTTTATACAGGGTGTATACAAAACATGTGAAAAAATTGAACTTTAAAAATACCAAATTATTTCATTTTTTTAAATGGAACCACCCATTTTTTTCTATTTTGTTGAAATCGGCGATAAAAAATAAGGACAGTTCATGTTTACTTCCCTATACCTAAACCTAATAGTTTTGAAGATATTGAATATCTTACATAAATCTTACTTTTCTGACTTATTCTTAAATAACTCTGTTTTACAAGTTGGCTATGTAATATTTCACAAGTACCAAAATTAATAATCAATGAATTACAAACAATTTACATGGCCAACTTGTAAAAACGGATTATTTAAGAATAAGGCAGAAAAGTAAGTTTTAAGTAAAATTTTTAATATCATCAAACCTATTAGGTTTAGGTATAGGGAAGTAAACATGAACTGTCCTTATTTTTTATCGCTGATTTCAATAAAATAGAAAAAAATGGATGTTTCCATTTAAAAAAATGAAATAATTTGGTATTTTTGAAGTTCAACTTTTCACATGTTTTGTATACACCCTGTATAAAATAAATAGTTTTTTAACACAGATTCAAATACCTTTGACCTTGCTAGTGGCCACCCTACAGAAACCGTTTTCATATCTTTAAAGGGATCCCCGTAAAAAAATAATTTAAAAGGGTCTGCATCGGTCAAATTTTTCAAAAAAAAATTAGTAATTCAAAAAGTATGCATTTTTGAAAAAAGTTTTTTAGACAAAAGCACTCTAAAATTTTGCGTACATTTCGAAAATATATTAATATATGGGGTGTCCCATTTAAAATAACAAAGTTGCTGTCCATTTCCGGTATAACCGGAAGTAAAGAAAAGTTGAAAATATTTTCATTGAATAGAGCGCATCGACTAATACTTGTACACAAATTTTCAAATTTTAATTACAACTACTTTTCCATATACTTCTAATGGGCCCTCTTCGTGACACACACTGTATACTTTTATACAGTACCTATATTTATTATACATCTACATTTTCACAAAAGGATTTACAGGATTTACAGTATTCTCTATGTACAAGCTTGTATGGTATAGGTACAATTTTTATGTCTTATTCCTTTAATAATAATTTTCGTTCGAGCTGGAAGCTATAAAAACCATTTTATGAAAGCTTTCTTAATGAAAACTCCGACTAAATCTCTATACTATTCCGAAAGTAAACTTATAAACAACTCTTACATTCTTTTAAATTGGAAACGAAGCACTTCTTTAGGTTTTATTATCAGTATCCCACTAAAACTTTAATTTCCCGCTATGATCGGAACGTTGGTGTTCTTTTACAATGGTTTTATATAATGATTGCAAAACGCTTTAGCTTATCTGATGAAACAATGTAAAAAGTTCTAAATAGCCATAAGTTATATCGGATTAGCGAAGTAGTTAATGAATACTTCGAAAGTTTTGGTTAAATTTCTGTAAGTCTTCGAATTAATTAATTTCCTAGATTTTTATTATGTTCCTTTTCAACCGGAAAAGATGAAACCTAATTGACCTCTCGTAATATTTTATTGCAGAGGCGATCTTTAAAATTATACGAACCTCGTAAAATGTTCTTAAAGATTTTCCCGGCTTCAATTGCTCCACGTTAAACTTTTATTACCGCCGATATGAAAAAGATGTTCGATGAAATTAGTTTATTAATCGTTTCTCGTGTAGTTTAGTTTATTTATTTGTATGCTGGAAAACATTTTATGGTCACCGTAATATTGAACATTCGATTCGAAAATTGGTAGATACATATTATGATTAATTAGATTCCCTTAATTACTTGCACATTCATTAATAACGCGTCCTCATTCGGCAATATAATTAGTGTAGTAATCATCGGGATGTATTTCAGTACTAATTTATTTCGAATAAGTTGGGGTAAATTATAAATTTGTTAGTCTTGTGATTGAACTCTTATTAAAAAACAACGTAATCTTCGAATTATTGTAAGTAATTACAATATAAGGGGCTAAACGACAGTATAACTAAGACATTGTGCATATACCGTCATTGCCACAGCTAGTAATTTATTCATCGAAGTTAGATCTCTCGGCGACGGTATTATAATCCTGGAGGTATTCATCATTTCCTATCTACACACCGTAACTCCGGCTAGTTTTCATACAAATTGACTGCTTAAGCCAAAGCTTCGATGCGCTGCCTTCAACACACATACGCCTATAGCGTAGTCATCAAGAGTTTGTCAATTTTAAGAAGTGTTGCATTAGCGTTCGATCGGAGTTTAATAGAAAACTAAATTGCTATTGCCTAAGTAATTATATCCGCGAGAACGGCATAGTAAAATGCCATTCGGATTGTTTTCTAATTGACTTTCGAAAAGTTTAGTGCATTTGCATTGAGCTATACAATTTTTATTCAATTACAGAGCTGGAGAAAGGGATTCCTCTCGCAGCGCAGACAGGTTACTGCGCAGAGCTGGAGGAGTTGCAGGAGTTGCTACACTTCCCTGAAGAGGTTGCCCTTCGCTTGGCCGATACTGAGTATCAACTTTTTTACCAGGTATGTTGTACATAGAGAATGTTACTATTCGCATATATTATTTATGGTTTTTAGAAACGAAATTTTACGAACTAAATTATAGTTTAATTACGAGTACGCTTTTTCAATGTAACAAAAACATTCGCTCGAGTTGACACATGTCATTTAAAAGCCATTAGGATTACGTGGAAGGGGACCGTGACAAAAGGGCATGTAGGTTTGGAACTAATTAACAATATTTCATCGAACAATGCACATAATGGTATTCTGGAGTAAAACCGGTTTGTGTATAGCGTAATTGGAGTAAATTCTGTACATTCACTTCTCGGCGAACGGGCGAATTATCTACGCCATACGACAATGCTCGTATTACCATAAACACACGAATTCCCAAAATGATAAAGGATTAATTCAAAATTGTGTCAACGGCTCAGGCCGGATTTAATTTCCAGAATTTTAGTATCATATAGGTACCGGCAAGGATCAAGTTGTAATAAAATGTAATAAAATTCTTAGCTGAACACTTTGCCAAATGCATTGAAAATAAATAAACACACTATCGAAGTGGAAAATTGGATTTATATCCGCACTATAAAAAGGAAACCGACAACTCTGCCAAATTTAGCCACTGCCAAAAGAGACCTCAAAGAAGGAATGTAGGAAATAAAATAGGGCAAACAACAAAGCGAAATTCCCGACTCAAATTTTCCATTTTTTTAAGTTCCCAAAATGGTTTGTTAGATATTTCAAACCCCTCAAACTGCGTAAATTAAATTCACAGAAACACCTACTATAATCATTTAAATAATACAAAATAAACAACAATTTCAAAATAAGCCATGCATGATTATACAAACTAATAAGCTTTAAACAACGCCGGCTAATTTCCTATTTAAATATTACCAACTATTTAATTAAAATGATTAATTAAAAGAGCTCTTGCATGTATTGGCAAAATTTAATTTAATAAATACTTTCCATACCTAAATTTTTTAATTTACCCACATATTCGGCAAATTTGTTGCTTAATCAATATGTAAATTTATACTCCCACTTGTGTCACTGTTTAATTAAATATCATTTATATATATTTCACAATAGCGTGTATGGGACTAATTGGTAAATGAATCTATTATATGGGAATACCGTATTGAACATTAAAACTTAAACAACTGACCTAAATGGAATTATTTACAAAATGTGGTTGATTTTTATTGTAACCCTGATTCCATTTATTAATATGCTCCGTGTACAATTCTTTGTTCTATATTTTGTATAGCAGATATATCAATCATGATTGAGTATTGGTAGGTAATTGATAAAGAGTAATTATTATCACAGAAAAATTAATTCCAGGTCCCACCTATCGACTATTTACGTCAGGTGACCTTGGATTTGGGAGGCGCTACAGGAACGTCGGCAGAAAATCTTCCCGGCAATACCTCCACTAAGAGATCATCAGTTTCAACATTAATAAAACGCTTCAATGAGGTGAGCAAATGAAAATTCACGAATCGTAATTATTTAGGCAACTGAGCTGGAGCGGAAGGACCCCTAACAGATTTATTAATAACTAGAGCACGTCCTTAAGGAAAGTATGTTCCTCATATAGTGGGTCGCTTTTATTGCATTTTCAGAGTACATTCATTTAACCTCTTCCGCTGGTTATATTGCGAATTTTTCTATAATAAGAGCAAGGATATTGCTAGGCAGAAGAAAGTTCGTATTTTTAACCATTTTCCTCGTTTCAATTATTCATGGATATCTGGATACCTGTACGTCAGAATTGTCTAAAATTTTAAATTCCCAGAGTTTAATATAACATCTGCGGGGAAAATCGAATATCCCTGAATTATACAAGCCGCTTTTCGGTAAGGTTTTCCCGAGGGCGAGAGCGAGCTTGTTGTGACCGGTGCATTTAAATGGAAAGTTGGAAACGGAGCGCTGGTTGCCAGTAATGCCTCTAAAATATCGCTGATGTTGCGATATCGAGAGATAAACGAGACATCCAGTCGCAATTTAATGAAAGTTCACAGCAAAACCACCCTCAGTTCGAGCGCTTTGCGATACCTGCATATGCATGCTTAGACGGTTATTTCGAGTGAATGAAGATGCTATCAATTTTAACAACTCATGTACGAGTTTTGTGTAGATTGGTTAATTAATAAAAGTTTGATTGCGAATAAAACTACGCCAACTTCAACACAAACTGCTTGCATGGGAATTGTACATTTCAATTGGATCCCGTTGGAACAATAAATTGTTTTCGGGCCAGAAGGATAAAAATAAAGCCGCGTAGCCCGTTATATAGCTGAATAAAGATTGGACCAAACGTCCGGAAGCACAATAGCGGATAAATTGGAAGATAATTCATATGAATGCGAAATCGGAAAACTTTCAACAAATAAAACCTAGACGTTGAATCTTTCGATTTGAGTTAAAAAATGCCGTACATTTTTCTGATAAGGAAATCCTGAGCGTAGGTCGCATTTCTGTGTAAGTAATACCATTTTTCAGGATGCTCTTTTTCATCATTTCTGTCGTGCTTCGTTCTCCTTTTAAATCCTTAAACAAATTCGAGCAATCCGCAAAGAAAACACGAATCCATCGATTTCATGATAAATTAGACAAGCAGATATTACAAGACAAGAGCAGCGGCATTAAGAGATCAATGACATAGTTTTTGCACTAAATATATGTTAAATTACAAAATCTTAGAAATCCTTCGTAGGCGAAAATTGCAGAGATTATCGCCGTTTGTTCGCTAGGATCAAACAAAACCCAATCTCACGAAAATGGAGCATGTGGGATATCTCCCAAGATACCCCAAGACGCCATTCAGCATTAATTTGAAGGCATTCACTGAAAGCAAATTTACCGGATTCGACAATTGACAGGGTGCTTACAATAAATTCGTGATTACCTTTCAAACGAGCTACTGGCGTCACGGTTGTTTTGAGTAACCACACCGGGAAAATAAGTTTACTCTATCAATAGGCTTAGCGTAGGAGGGTAATTTTCGTTCATTAGGTATAATAGATGGACAAACTTTTTTGTTTTTATAGATAGGTAATTTATTATACTTCAGTGTAAATAAATATATGTCTTATGTAATAAGGTTTAAGAGGCGCTTTTTTGAAGAAATTTAATTGTTTTTATGCTTTAGGTGAGTGCTTGGGTGACCCAATTGATAATCACCCAACCTACGCACGATGCTCGCCGAGCTGTACTCTCCTGCATCCTTAGGATCGCTCTCTCATCGTGGAATATCGGAAATTTCAACGGAGCCATGGAAATTATCGCGGGCCTTAAGTGAGTAGAAAGCTATTTATCAACATAAAATAATGGCTATTTATGCGAAGGTATTATCCTTGAGGTAACCGCGCGTTATTGGTTGGTAATACGCCCTTATATTTAAACCGCATAACCACACGAGATTATCTAAATTCATGGTGTTATTGAAAATCAATGTGCACCTTCGGATTCAGAAGTTATTTTACGTCCTGAACGTAACCTGGTCGAAGTGATAAGTCGGGCGGGCCCCAGAATCCGAGTCTTCTATTGATTTCGCGCTCATTCTACGATACGAATAGGTCCGGATTTTCCGTATTTTCCTAAGTGTCGACGCCCGTTTTCTTGGGATCCCTTCGAATGGCATTAATATCGAATCCGAAAAAAATATATTTATCGCATAAAAACTTCCCATCGTCATTTCCTGCGTAATATCCTCCACTGGCAGAAACCTATTATCGATAAAAAATATTTAACAATTTCTCTGTATAGGTTTTCCACAGGCAAGCGTATAAAAATAACGTGCAATAGGAAATTTCAATCCTAAAATACTATATATTTTATATGTGGGTATAATAATGTTGACTTAGCATTTTGTTTTCAATTTTATATCCATTCTACAAACAGTAGAAGTAGGAATAATAGCAAATGGAAATGTCAATTACGATTACGAATCAAATTTTAAAGCTTGCGGTAATTATTTTATCGTTATCAACAATATGGGGCCTCAGTTAATAAAAGATTCGGGTTAGTGGGTTTCGTATCGATTTGTATTGTTGTCATTCGGAGTTTTATTCGTAGACATTAATGCGAGAGAATGAACGCCATTAAAGTGCATTCACTCTGAATAATTTTAATCAATGCAACGTAATTATTGTGCATGTAATTAATTGCACTTATTATGCTGATTTTCGGCGAAACGCTGGAACAAATTTAATGATCGATGAGTTATAAATAACGCGAAAAATCAAATCCGTGACATCAACATCGCCCACGTAACGTTTTCGCTCTAATAATAGGTCGTTGGGGAGATTCAAAGTGGTAAGGGCAGGGGTTTCTTTCGGCCTCCAGCAGCATTGACGGTTGTAGGCCGGCGGAAACTACTTGCTTTCGCCATTTAACCATCAATCTTCCAAGTTTATTCTATTTACTTCATACGAGTTTAAGGAAATGCGCGAAATTCTACAATACAAAATGCTAATGGACTAAAAATCTAAATAGAACGAAATTTTGGATTACTGGTGAGAATTTCATAAAATAGAGGATATCAAAGACTCTTTATAGTAGAGTAGTATGTAGAAATAATAAGCTGTAAAATAAATTAATGTAATGCTACGTTATTTATCTCAAATATATTTAATTTACATATGTAGAAACCGTTTAATTAAATTATTTCTGACGAATTAACATTCATTGCCGGTTCATTTTTTGGCAGAAACGGAGATATTTATCTTTAAGCATTTCTTTTGATGTTAATAAAATGCTTTGTGAACGAAATTTAATTTATATCCTTTGTGAAAGGAGTTTAGAGGCTCCTGTTTTACTGCATTGAATATTAATTAAAAAAGAAACTTCGGTATACAGATTATTTCGAGGCTTTACTCGCTGATGTAGGATATCTCTTTAATCAAAAATACCTGATTGACATAAACCTAAAAATAAATTGATGGATATAATTGAAATGTTTTTACTGAAATAAATGAAAAATTATAAATGGTATAAACAATTTTAATATTAATTTAACGAATAAATAAATAAATAAACAATCACTGTTATAATACTGTTAGTTGTATAGAAAATGAGAGAAATGAGAGAATGTATTTACTTGATGGCATAATAAATATAATAAATTTGTTTGATGAAATAAAATGCGATAGAAATTGTTATTGATGGTATGAGAGTATAATGTGCAGCGGTTGTTGGATAGTTTACTTAGCATTTAAAAAGCATTTCATACAAAAATTCATTTTGCACTGTAAGTAGGTGCATATTATTTCCATGATTCACACAAAGCAAATCCCGCTGCAATTTATCTGGACTCGTTTTCCTATTCTTATACCAACGTACAAGATTTTTACCGAAACCCGCACGAAATATTTATTAGACAGACGAATAGTATATTCCGCAAACTTCTTTGTTCTTTACATCGAATTTCCGAGAAATTCCTGGCTTTCCACTACCATAATTTAGTAAATACACGTGCATCGGCATCCCATGCCGGGCTCGCCTTTGCGAAACTTCTCAAAGAACATCCATTCCCTCTGCGATGTTGATATGAATAATTCGTTTGGCCTCGTCGTCGGACCCACCGGAACATCCGCGACTCACAAAAGAATTTAAATCGGCGTTTTTCTTTCGACTCGCCGTGGAAGGCCCGTCGCTTAAGAGAATCATCCCTCCGGATATGCAGGCAATGCTAGCGGAATAATTTGATATAAAAATTGGTGGAGGACCCTGGCGTTTAGGTCGCGCTTAAAAAGCGTTTTGTCCTCCAAAAAGGAATTGATAAATTATACAATTTTCATTATAGCTAGATTATATATCGAATAGAGTTATAGATATCATATTTGTAGTGATGGATAAAATTGTACCTTTCTAATAAAATATAAAATAAAGCGAGCGCGAAATAAAATATACGAACATTTTTGAAAGCAATATAACTGAAATAGTAGAAAGTGAACCGACCCGAATGGAAGACCCAATGACTCAATAAGAAATTTTGCTTTTCTTTGCCGATACGGCAAGTTGTTTTGGCAATAAAAGCAAATAACTGTGATTTTTCTCGTTTTTCTCAAAGCATTACACTCGGATATCAGAAAATCGTTTTTAATAAAATAAAGTTCCTCGCAATATAGAAAGAGTGTGGAAATAAAACTTCATTGTTCGACAACCTATATGTATGCTTTAAGAACACGAGAATTTATTAGAGTATATCGAAATACACCAGGGAATTCAGTCCCATCTCAGTTTGATTTCTACCTATTTCTTATTCAAAAATTATTCCATATCATTAGCGTTGAATACGAATCAGATAAATTATTGACCAGTTATGTAAACATGGAGTACGGGGCGTGTTTACATAATGTAAAAGTTCTCACCAACTCCACTATGCTTTAATAGAATATCCAGGCATCGAAGCAACTCGCCCGCTTCAACTCAACAGGATATTGTTTGATTAGGACGAACGGTTATCTTCTGATTATTCCCGTTTTACAACTGTTAAGGAAACTTTGATGGCCTTAATTACGAAACATCTCTCGATATTATGGAAATTACCTTTTGACGTTAACTTTTTTGAGGCCTACAAAAAAAATTTAATATATTCAGCGACAGTGTACAGAACCCATTCCTTCCAATTACTCGCTTATGGGATACTTTCCCCTGAATGTTTGATATATTTTAACAAAGGAGCTCAAAGGATTTTAAGGGAGTTCTTTCACGCATACGTTCCAGTTTAAACTGCTACCCAAGTTTTTTAATATAGCTCTATAATTTGGTGTATTATTGCGTTTGGACGGGAAATGGAGTTTTCCCTTTTTTTCAGCTCACACATTGTTATGTTACCTCGGGGACGTAACGTTTTTCATTCTATTGAATTTTACAATTAAAAAAAATTGCAGGTGGGTAAAATAGAATGCATAGAATAACTGCAAAAATTAACGCCCCAGGGTCTGTAAATTGCTGCTAAACTCGTCAAACAATCCGGGTGTGTACGATGCTGCAATTGATTTTGCAGCTTTTCCGGTTTTATTAAAAACTTTTGACAACTTTCATATTGATTATTTCAATTCAATAAAAGTTCAAATTTAGTCCTGCAATATTATAAATAATAGTCTGGTGCTATATATAGTTGGCTTCTGGCAGACCTTATTTAAATTAGTTTGTATTCTGTTAAAGTGTAGTATTATAGAGTATTTAAAACAAATCGACAGATTTTAATATTTTTTGTTATATTCAAAAAGAGAAAAACTTTCTACCAAAGACCCATGTTCTCTGTTAAATTTTTAAGGCTTGGGGTTCCGGGCAAGAGGAAGAAATACTATGATGATGGTTTTTACGTCAAGATGTCCCACGTCAAGATTTCCCTACTCGTTATATAAATTGACGCGTCCGAAATCTGTTTTTCCTTTACCCGAAAACACCGCTGTTTCCTTTCCAATGTGTCAACCTGTATGCGAGCCAATTCGATTTATTTTTCGCACCATTACAGATCGAACAAACTCAAACCGTTCTGGTTATCCATCACCGAAAAGGAAACGCTGCCGGTGCTGGACTTCTTGTCGGCGGCGCTGCTCTCCGCGGAATACGACCGTGCCTTAAGTAGGGCGCTGGCGATGCCCGAGTGTCCCGTCGTGCCCTTCTTCGGCGCCTTCCTCAGAGAGCTGCGGGAGATCCTGGCGGCGGGCGAGGGAGCGGGCGCGCCCCCGCCTCCCGGAGACCATCTGCCGCCCACCGGCAAATCGCCCAAGGCGCAACAAGGACACAGGGACCAACATCATCAGCACAGACAAGTGGTAGGTGAGAAAATTATACGTATGCTCCTTTCAATGTCGGTTCAAGGAAGTTTATCGATGCAAATCAAGTAGTTTCTAATAATTAATTAGACTTCGAAACTCTACATTTCTTCTCGGAAGTCGCCTTCGTGTTCAATTAATTTTAATTTTCTTCCGAAACAGAGGGAATAAAATATTGTGCTCGATACATCCGTCTGTCTATTATACGTTCTCCCAGCGGCATTTCCAGCTCTCGCTTTTCCTTTTCCCGATTTCTAAGTGTCTGGATGATAATTCAATTTAATAATTGAGCCGTCTCTTGTAATAGAAAATAAAGTGATATTCGTAATTAAAATGCGAACGTCCTGTTCATAATTTAATAGCGGAAGATGGAAGGATACTAGTGCATATACTCGAAAGGACTTATTATATACACTTACAATATCCATTTTATGTTAGTGGAAAGTTGTTTTTTTTGTTCATAATTAAATTATGCATCTACAGGTACTTTTTTTAATTTCTAATGAGTGAATTTTTTAGTTCATATCAGATTATAATGGTGAGGATCATCATTTCACGACCATCGGCCCCGGCGGATTAATCAACCTGGAAAAAATCTACCGGACGCAAGCGGTTATGGACCATATATCTCTGTGCCATCAGCATTACCACAGCAGGAACCGACTCACTCCCACGTACACCCTCATCGACTACCTTAAGTAAGTGGCACAGGGGCTCGTTAAAATGCTGAAATCGCTCGACTAATTGTAATTATACAAATGTTACGGATAAGGTATGTCGAGTCGGCATTCCTTATTATGTTCGATAGTCCTCCGAGGAATTCTCGCGTCCCCCATGACGGAATCTCAATAATCATAAACTCGTTGCCTTCGACCCGTCGCTATTCCCCGCTAATTGGATATTCCAAGGGACGTCGCCTTCCAGCAAAGTAGATTTGCCCTTTCGAATATCCTAACGCTGCCGGCTAATTAGTCACTTAAGATTATTGACGAGTTTCGGGTTTCGGGGGTTTCACAGGAGACGGCGATTTGCGGTAAATAGAAACACTCGCGTATAACACACGCATCTGCATGTAAATAAGAATTAGGCTTCTGGCGAAGCAGTTTGATTTCGATTTTTGAATATCCAAGATTACAGCGAGTGCATCTACATACTTGGGATCTTCCGTACGTTCGTTTTACGGAATTCGATTTGCCTTATTGACGAGATATACATACGCTGATGAAGGAGCGGCGGGAGCAGGAGCGACGGAGACCTGGGGCGTTTTCAATGCCGCTGGAATTTTTAAATAAGCCGATCAGTCGAAAGAATAATGGTTTTATTTGTCGATTGCGAATCGGTTTAGTTGTCGGAGCGCGTCGATTCCTTAATTCGAAAATCCAATTCCGCTCGGCTTTTTACGGTATTATGTAGGGGATCGCAGGAAAGCGCGAATGCGAGCGGAAAGTAATCAGCCTAATAAAATTTTATTTAGGTGGGTAGTACCTACTGTTTTTTTTTGTAGATTGAAAAGTTTTCGCAATGAAGAGCCGCGATTAATTTTTATGGATTCGGTCGGTCTCGCGTGATTTTGTGTTATTAAAAAAAACAACCGTCGAATCGAGGATGCATAATAAATTATTTTATTGTTGAAATTGTTTCAGATCGTCGGCGATAAACGAGCAACGCGTTTTAGCGTTCGGACCCCCCGAAAAAGTCGAATTAGACGCCGAATACGACTGTGATGTAGACGATTATCATCCTGTACAGCCTCTAATTCACGATCACGGCGTCAGTTTCGTCTGTTTATCGTCGCCCTTAACGAAAATCGATCAGCACGTCATACAAGTAATTCATGAATTATCTACATGTAGATACCACCGAACAGGAGTTAATCAATTCCTAATTCAAAGCACGTCTGAGCTCGTAAATCGATCAAGCCTCGCTTCAAATTATGGTGTCTCGCATGCCGCGCGAGCTGGTTTAATTCCCCCAATACTCATCCTTTAAAGACTAATGGGCTGACCTTGACCTATTTACGATAACCCCCTCCTGATAGAAAAAATTATCATTGGTTATTCTCTACTGATACTCAAGTGGATATGGCTATTGCAGATATTGCACCACGGGAGTACGTGCGTGATGTGGGAAGGCTTCGAAGGTCCGTCGCCTCCGTCGGGCGTGAAGGGCGTCCTGCTCTACCTGCGACTGGATAGATCGTCGACGACGCTGACGTGGGTGCGTCCGAGCTGGAGCGGTCTGAAGGCGGGCGCCGCCAACGACACCGGCGATCCCTTCACCACCGATTTCAATCTGTCGTTCAATCCCGAAGAGACGCTGGCGCCGGGATTGCTCACCAAGCTGGCGCTGCAGTCGTCCGGAGAACAAAGCACCGGCACTACGTTGGACGATGGGTGAGTTTTTTCGAGATATATCCAGAAAAAAAGTCTGAGGATTAGGCTTCGGAATGCCGCCCGAAGAGGATGTAATTATTCCACGGAGCTTTTCCTTTTCCGCCGTCCGAAAAAGTTAAAACTAAATCTACCGAAGTGGAAGTGAAAATTTAATTTTCGCGAACCCTTGAGAAATGTGTTATTCTATTTTCTCTTTTAGTTATCCTTCGACTTTGATTGTCGCGCTCGCTTGAGAAACCAATCATTTGCGCGTCCCAGATCCGAAACGAATTTATACCGCCGGTGAGAAAATCATTTATATCGAAACGTCGTTTGTCGCAAATAGAACAGGGGCCGTTGCACTGAAAATGAGTAACGTCCCGTACACCGGTCGGGCGCGAGCTGAGCTTCCCTGTAAAGTAGCGATTATTTGTTCCAGATTTCTGGACCTCACGGCGGTGAAAGAAGTCCATTTGGGCGGCAAGGATGCGGAAAAGGAAGCCGAACTCGCACAAATGGCTCGACGATACGGCCTCAGTCACGAAACTGGCAACGAATGCGCCCTCACTATCCTCTACGGTTACGGTCTCAGCGATAATCGCTTATTGTACATCGTTTGTCCTCCCGCCGTTTGTAGGTAAGTGCCAAGAAAACACTTAAGCTACACACACAACGTGTCCCAAATGAAATTCTATCGTGTTCTATGAATATTATATAGTTTTATTTGGGTCAATTAATAGTCGATATAGCGACCAATCGATATGTTTACTTAATTTACAATGAAAAGTTTTTAGAAACCCGCCATGTAATAGTGTTTGGTCAAATTATATTTTAATAATCGATGCATGTATTCCAAATATTCAATTTACGTGTTGTCATAGAGTATGGTTTAGCGGTCTCTGTTGGTTGATCCGCGGATTAACTCGACAACAAGCTCTCTGTGATAGAAGATTATTGTGGTTAAGGGAACAGTACATGCAACTATATCACGAAGACGGTTATTGCTGTGGACCTTTAGCGGCCGATGCAATTAGAGTAAGACATTATGAAAATAATTACGAACTATAATATTGACCTAGTGCAACTGTAATTAGTCGATTAATTTTAGTCAAACGATTCAGAGAGTTTGAAACTTGGTTCTTTTTGTATAGTCTTTCGGTGGAAGAGATTGGTCGATTGCCGGCGCTACTGGCGGTCAAGGAGAATCCTCCGGCGCTCTGAGACGCGAAGTATCAATGAAAATTAAAAAGAAGCAACTACTAAGCAACCAGACGTTCAAAGTAAGTCATAAAATCTTCTTAGGAATCATCTTTCTATCCTATGTAGCAGTTACTTAACCAACTAGATATTGCTTGTTTCAGGATCGAAGCTTGAGGACTCCTTTCGTGGAACCGGCGACCATGTGCATGGAGAGCAGTTACTGGAGAAACCCCACTCACCACCGCCAGTCGACGCCTACGACGTTCCCCGAGCACCAGCACGACGTTTCCAGGCACCACAGTTTGGGGCAGCTGGCGTACAACAGCTCCCAGCCGAAATTCGATAGGTTAGTTCCGCTTGCAAATTGTGCCGGCTTAAAGCGATCGCGCAATAAAAATATACAGAGAAAATTTATCGAGCATTGCGAATAGAAACGAAAGGAAAATAAAGATTTGTTTTTTCTTTGGTATAGCAGCTCAATTGCAAAGATTATTAACTGCATCATGAGGTAATTATGCGCAATACTAGCTTGTACGTAGAAACGTAGAATGTTTTTAGCTATAAATTATGAAAATGAATTTTGTATGAGCTTCGTTCGCTTCCATAGCTATTTGTGAAATATTGCAAAATAATGGATTTAATCCTGCGTATATAGGGCACAGATACTTACAATTACAAAAATCAATATTTGTTATTGAAATAGTGCATGTGCTAAACTCGCTAAAACTGAACAGTTTTAGTAATAATAACCTCCTCGATAACCTCGAGGTAGTTATGGTTTTAATTTAAATCACTTCGCTTAACTGAACAGCACGATATAAAAAATCACTTTTCAGTCTTTACACAATTTTATTAATTACAACAAGTTTATGCCTACGCTTTAATGGGTCTACTTTTTAATTAATGACCCTAAATGCCAATTTTCATAGAAAAAAAGTCGGCGATGTTATTAATTACCTACATTATTTAATAACCAAACTTTTTCACTTTAAAAATCTGTTGGAAAGTTTGCCTAAGTGCACTCAACGACTCTCCCGTGCCCTTGATCGGGTACATTTTATTCCCGCCATTCCGATCGATGATAAGCTCTTCTAATATGTATTAAGAGCTTAAATTAACTACTGAATTTCATTTTAGAGATCGGCACGGTTCGACCGAACATCTATGGCACGGCAGGCATCCCAGAGTCGGCTCAATTCTCTACGATACTCAATTGGATTTCGTAGATTTCGTTACGCTTTTCCGTTCTTTCAGGTAATAAAATCCGATCGTTCTCTCCTGCCGTTTAAAATAATCCAATTTTCGTTTGGTTCGCAGTTTACTAATTAGGAAGGATCTTAGAGATCTGTTCGAACAACTAGCAATATCTTACAGAAGTATGGCTGTGAATACCTCTAAGTTAAACGGTGTCAAATCTAAAGTCGAACAACCAAAGAAACTCCAAAAAATAGGTTTGTGTTTTATTTACTTCCCAATATCCCGAACTATTTCGATTTGTTATTTAGGTTTACTAACGCGGAACAGCAAAGCAGAATTGGACGGTCTCGTGGTCAATTCGCAAAAGAAAATCTTCGACGCCATCGCAGCGGCGAGTATTTTCACCAATTGCGCGGGAATCGATACAAACAACTCCCAAGTGATCACGTTGTCGACGTTCACGAAGTTTTTGGAAACCAGGCAAATGGAAGTGCGTACCGAAGAGCAAGTCAAGGCTTTAATTCACGTGAGTACTATCACCTATAACCAGCAATTGGAGGTGTTTATATACGTGGTTTGTATGCGCAGAGGCACGAACCCGACGCGGCTTTAAGGACCCAGAATTGCTTGTCTTTCGAAGGATTCGCTCGGTACCTCATGGATAAGGAAAACTTCGCATTTGTGCACGAAACCGAGGTTCCGATAGAAAGCGACATGACGCGCCCTTTGTCCACTTATTATATATCTTCGTCTCACAACACTTACTTGACAGGGCATCAACTCAAAGGAGAATCATCTGTGGAATTATATAGTCAGGTACAATGATACGAGTGCTGTGGAGTTCTTCGTCAAATTTATTTCGGATCTTTGGATTTTTTTAGGTTTTACTGACAGGTTGCAGATGCGTAGAATTAGATTGTTGGGATGGAGACGACGGTTACCCAATGATATATCACGGACATACCTTCACTACGAAAATACCATTCAGCGCTGTGGTAGAGACCATTGATAAGAACGCCTTCGTTTCGTCCTCGTACCCTGTGATTTTATCGATAGAAAATCACTGCTCCTTACAACAGCAAACCAGAATGGCTCACATATTCCAAGTAAAAATCTTCACACTAAAATTCGACAGTAAAATACAATTTCATCCAATTTTTAAGAGGATTTTCGGCGAAAAGTTAGTCACGACGTTCCTATTCGAATCGGACTACAGCGACGAACCGTGCCTGCCGTCGCCCGAACAGCTCAAGTACCGGGTGTTGGTAAAAAACAAGAAACTGATCATGGAAGTGAATCCGCCTTTGACGTTCTCCTCCATGACGCCCGTTCGACCGGGCAGCGGCATGCGGCACTCCGTGCCCGGCAGGACCAGCTCCATCATCAGCAACACCAGCAGCAGTTCCTTCAACGACGACTTCAGCGACGAGGATTACGACGATGAAGATGACGAGGATAATATCGATGGTAAGTAACGCAAACGTAGAATATCCAGAAGTAGAGAAACAGCCAAACAGCGGTGCTAGAATTTTGTTGATAATATTTGGTGTTATAGATAAGCCTTTACATGCATTGAACCTCACTGATTCTCCTCGACCGTACGGAGTACCACACGCGGTGTCCAAAACCAGTTCCCAGAAGAGAGCAGCGCCGGATGATAAGCTGAAGAAAAAGAGCAGCCAAATTTCTAAAGAGTTATCCGATATGGTTGTTTATGTACAGGTAAAACACTAAATTACTTCATATTTTCCTTATCTTTTAATTATACAATTAATTTGCAGGCGATAAAGTTCCGCGGTCTGAACACCATCTCTCCCAGCAGCTCGGTCAAACAACGCCAGAAAGTCATCACGTGCTCGGTAAGTTCCAGCGCTACGTCAGGAATCAGCTCAGCTTCCAACATCAGCTCAGCAACAGCCAGCGAATCGGACAACACGATATTCGAAAGCGAGCAGCAGGTTCAGAAACGACCCAACGTCCACCTGCCCTGCTACCAATGCTCCTCGATAAACGAAAACACCGCAAAGAAATTATGCAGGTAAACAGTAACCTTCCTTCATATCGAAGCATAAGCTTATTTTACTTACGATTAATTGCAGGAAACAACCATTGGCGCTGGTGGTTCACACACAAACGCAACTAATGAGGACTTACCCGGCGGGTATGCGGATCGATTCGTCCAATTTCAATCCGGTGATATTTTGGTCGTTCGGCATACAAATGACGGCGTTGAACTACCAAACAGAAGACACGGCGATGCAGCTGAACACTGCATTGTTCGAAACCAATGGAAAGTGCGGGTACGTCAGCAAACCGAACGTCATGTGGGACAGGCAGCACGTCATGTACAGGAGGTTCAATCCTTGGGATAAAGTAATATTAAAATCGATTGTTGCATGTATGTAAATGCTTTAATCTATAAAATTGCAGGAATTCGACGGTATACATTCTTCCCAAATGGTCATCAACATAGTCTCTGGCCAGTACGTGGGCCAAAACAACGTCAACCTGAGCACTTACGTAGAAGTGGAAATAATCGGAATCCAAGTGGACTGTAACAAGCAAAAAACCAAAATCGTCCAAAAGAACTCGCTGAATCCGATTTGGAACGATACCTTCCACTTTAGAATCATGTTCCAGGATTTGGCTTTCCTAAGGTTCACTGTAATAGATGCGGCCAGCAACCATCTCCTGGCTCAAAGGATAATGCCATTGAAATGCTTAAAACCGGGCTACAGGCACGTGCGGCTTAGATCTCCCACAAACAAGATATTCAACATGTCCACGTTGTTCATTTACTCCAGATTAGAAGAGGAAAGCCTAGAAAATACTGAAACCACAGACGGGATGTCCGAGCGACAGAAACCTCCTGAAAAAGTTAAAACTGAAAATAGCGGATCAGATGGAACGTTTTTAGGTAAGAAAAATATAATTCGTCTTAATAAACTTGTAGTAACCAAATTTTTTAGGGATTTCTGGTACTCCTTTGTGCGTGAAGAGGAGGATGTTCTTCCTGATGGTGTACGGAGTCGTCTCTGAAGAACCGTACACGATTTTAAAAATCACCCAAGAAAGTACGACTCAAGACGTGCTGCAGCTCTGTTTACAGAAAGCCGGCGTGAGCCCCACCAAAGTGAACGACTACATACTAGTAGAAGAAGTGGCTCGAGGTTGGGAGAAAAAGGATCACAATCTACCGGCCACCCAACGAATTTTAGATCTGCAAGAACGCCCACTGCAGGTGAGCATTGCTGCAACAGTAGCACATCAGTTCTTACATAAACCCCGCTTTAGGCTCAATCCCAGTGGAAAGGCGAAGGAAGATTCATCCTCAAGCGAATGGGCGACGACCCCAGCAGCCGGGCTTGGTTATCATCGATACGGAGCGTCGCCAATCGGGAACGCGAAGCCCGAAAATCCGACGGGTGTCCGAGCAACGCTTGGGAAATCAACGACACCTTCCTCGTGTGCATCTACAACGTATCCCCCGAGATCCCCTACGCCATTCTCAAGGTGCCGCTGAACGCTTGCGCCCAGGACGTCCTCGCTCAAGCCCTGGTGAAGGCCCGCCGACTGGAGGACCCCATGAACTTCGTCATCGTGGAGGAACTGGAATGGGGCGGCGCGAGCCACAACATCCAGCAGCGCGCCTTGGCCGATTACGAGAACGTTTACAGCTCGCAGTCGCATTGGCAGACCATCGGCAGGTTCATCTTGCAGGAGCGCGCTAACGCCACGCCGACGTCGTTGCGGAAGAACAAGATCACGTCGAGCCTGAGACTGGCCACGCTGGATAGGATCAGCAGAGGGCTGAACGTCGCCCGGAACGTCTCGAATAGCATCAAAATGCCCGTGCAGGTGGCCCTGAGCGATCCGACTACGTCGAAGTGGAAGAGCAAGACCGGCGAGGACCCCAAAGGCAAGTTCAGCACGAGGAATAAATCGACGTCGGACAAAGATTCGGCCGTTCAGGCTAGTGCGGGCAAAAAGGATGTGACGCGGGAAGTGCATTCCGAAGGGGAGACTTTGAGCGACGAAGACGTCAAAGAGTCGGATTTGATGTCGACGATGTCGAGATTGAAAAAAGTGTCGCTCAGAAAATTTAAGGAATGGAAATCGTGACTCTTGGAGTTATTGTAAATGAACGGACGTTCGAAAACGTGGTTTCTATGAAATTGCGGCATTAGTAGGTCGTAAAGTAATTTGGTGGGCAGGCAAACCTGTCTGTATTATTGGATTCTCTACATTTACATTTTGTCGGCATAAGAGAGAATTTGCAAACACTCCTTCCTTGTAAACTTGTATATATTATAATATATTACATATTGATGATATTGTTCATAAGTAAAACGAAAGCGAACACTCAATTTCTTTGTTGGCAAATTATATCATTGTATTAAATTTATTTTCATCTAGTCATTCAATATAAAGTACCTGTTTTGGAATGAAATATTTCGGTTTGCCTTGTTATCTTCCTTGATTTAATTTATTTACCCTGGATTAAGTGGCCTCCCCTAATAACTTCCATAAAGCATTGTTATTTGCATTGTATTTTTTTCTTGCAGGTACCCTAAAGAATTGAAATATAATTTGTCTGCCGACCAATTCTGATTCTAAACACTAAGATAAATGAAATCTTAGCATAAAAGCGTAGTGTTAAAAGTTTGGTATTCTATAAACTACATATTTTGCTACTTCATCTAAAACTATATTTCTGTTGTTCAGAAATTTAGCACAAATACAATATACATACTGTAAGTTGGAACATTTCATATCAAACATACTGTTCAGAGTATTTCAGTAAAGTTTTTAAGAAGCGTGCACTTTAATTTCAAGCCAGTTGTATGTCTGAATATTTGTAAGTTTACAAAAATATCATCCAGCTTTTAAAAATCGTGTTAAAAGAAATGCTTGACAAAAGCAACTTAAATATAAATACTAATGTAATTTAAATGAAATATTTCGAAATAATTCGTGTTGTACAACTGGCGAAATAACACTTGTACAGGGTTTATTGTTCAACGTCAGTGTAATAATAATTTTTTAAGGATTCCTATATGATTTGGATTTGGGTGTTGAAAATTTTAAACGCTATTTATTCGTACGTACACATCACGACCCGTCTCTCAGGGTTTAATTTTTTTATGTGTCTTTCTCTAGAATTTTATACTTTTAACATAAATAAGGGAAAAATGCAAATACGAGTAAGCGTTCAGTTCTGTTATAACAACCAAACGAATGTCAATAAGAGAATTGCGAATACTAAAAAAGTAATAATTTCAAAAGCTAATGCATATACAAAGAAAGTGCTCCATCTGCATTATAAATACTAATCGATTTAATGGAAGGAAATATGCTTTCAATTAGTAGACATAACAGAACTGAATAATTAATGGAACTTGGAAATTACTTCATAGTCGTTTCCAGGATGGAATTAATTTTTGATAAGCTTAAAAGAAACCCCAGGAATGCAGAGGTATTCGCCTTCCGATATTACATTGTTTTCCTTCATTTAAAAGCCACATTTGAAGTAAAACAATCATTTAAAAGTTACATTTACGACGGAAAGCGTTATTAATAGAATCGAATAAAAGTTTATCAGTGGGACCACAATGAAATTTATGTAATAAACTCTTTTATTTGTATTAAGGATTTGTTGATTATGGGATTAGTTAATCGGTTATGAGTGAAGTGTTTTAAAGATTGTTTTATTTAAATTTGGCCAAGTTTGTTGTAGATCATTTATCAATAAAGTAAATTTTTATGGTTGTTGGAAAATTAGTAAGAATCAAATATTACAAATTAATTACAGAATCTTTACCTAATTATATAAAAACTAGTCATAAAACTATCATGTAGACCATATCCGATTGATTCGCATTCACTTTTCTTTATTTATTCCCCCGACATATCCATAACTTAATCAAATTTTACAGTATTTATCACGTTCGAATGGCTCTTGTACATTAAACATATTGATGTTATTAAAAATATATTATAAATAATACGAAAGAAAATATACTTATACCTAACTGTTACTTTACAGTACAAATTTAAGATGATTGTTTTTATGTAACATTGTTATATTTAACGATTTATAAAAATATATTGCGTTAAAATTTCACTAAAAACTCGCTTTATTTCTATCATAAATCACATTTGCCCATCATCAGAAATAATTGCTGTAATACAATAAAAATGAGGAATCTTCAACTTCATATTTAACACTCAAACAAGATATCGTAGATACCGTAGATATTCTAGTACATTTAGTTGTGTATTGATTATTGATCCTTCATCCTACTATGCTAGTAGCGCCCCTTAAAGTCAAGTACCCTGCGGTTATGTCCATGGGTAGCTCGATTATGGTAGCGTACTCGTCTTTATTAGCGAATCGTAACCTAGTCTGTGGATCCGTGTAGGGTGCAGGCAGTCCAGACAAATCGGAGAACTTCTCTGGAGGCTTGAACGATGGTGGAGCATTAATAGACCCGTAATGAACGCAATTATCCGGCCAAGGCAGAGCCTTCTCCGACGAAATGATTTGTTTCAGTCCTTTCCAAACGCACTTCTTTTTGTTGGCACTTTGAAATTGTAAAGAGGAGGATTTGAATACGAGCTTTTGCTCTGTTTTTTGTTCTTCTACACTCATTTCACTGTTTTTTTGAAAATTACCGTAAATAATAAAGAAATAAAAGGATTAGTCTGTTAAATAAGGTTATGTTTTGACTTTTGACTTTGACAGATGAAATTTGTCAAAATGTCAATAATGACAATTCTTCTTTTTTACATGTTAATGAGCAATGTTCTTCTTCATTACTTTACTTGGTAGGGTATTTGGCTATTTTATTTAAGAATGAGATTTAAATTTAAATATTCACCTACAACATACAAAAAAAGCACATGTTTTATGGATAGAGACAAATATATCCTCTTAGTAGAAAGATTTAACACTCGCTAGTTATTATATCAAAGAAACAACTTCAATCAAATATTACACTAAACAAATATTACGCCATAAAATTCATATAGGTCATCTAATCGAAAGAACAAATAATTTCGGATTGACGTCAACGCGTACCTACTCATCAATTAACATTTTATCTATCGATTTATCGCTTTCCAAACAGTGCGTGAACACTTTATTTCGATATATGCAGAAAGCCTTACAAATCTAAACAACAACTTGTTCATTTGTTTATGATAAAAATTCGCAGTGTTAATTTCCACTTTGAAATTTTAATGTGCAAACTCTCCCAAACCAGTATCCGTCAATTTAATCAATTTTTTTGGAGGATAGTATTCCATCTATTCATTTACATGTTGCTTCACCAAAGCTCGCTTCAAGCAGACTATCCTGCAAGAGACCTATACGTATAGCCCTGTAATTCCCAGCTGAAGATAAAAATGTTCAAAACTGGGCATGGATTAGAAAACGAAATAAGTGAAGAAACGAACATTTCCCCCGGTAACAAAATAATCTAAAAAAACCTGTCAAAGTTCGTACGAGATCGAAACTTGACAAATCCACCGAAACCCACCGTTTAAAAACCGCAATCGATAAATAATTAGCGACTAGAAATTGCCTCCGCAATGATGTGCCTACGTAACGACGCGAAGAGCTTCTCCGTCAGTTCCTACGAAAATCCATACGACTACAGCGAGCGAAAAACGCACGCGTCGAGCGCGCTTTTCATGAAAACCGACGGAAGGAAACCGTCGGAATCGGAAAATCTCACTACAGTTCGGCAGCGCAGTCGAGCATGTCGTTTCGCATCCTCTTCTTGGTGGCACTGCTGTCGACGGAGGGCTCCCTCTTCCAATACAAACACCACAACAACGAGGAGCTGCTGGAGGTGCTGCAGGACGTGAATTCCAAATGCCCCAACATCAGCAGGATTTACACGCTGAGCGAGAATTCGGTGCTGGGCATTCCTCTCTACGTTATCGAATTCTCGCTTAAGCCAGGACATCATGAAATTTGTAAGTTTTCCTATCTCTATATAAGAAGAGTTATTTATTACTATTGCGTAGGTATTTGGCTGATTATTGATTACCATATGTTTATACCAAATGATAAATTAGATTGCGCTCTTTCATTTAATTTGTTTATCCATCAATTAAAACATATCGTATAAAATTGAATACTTTTACCTAAGATAATGCATTGAAGCTACATGCTTATTTTGTCATAATTTCTCCTAAAATTTAGGTTAGTTCTAATTCATTAAAAACCCGTTAAATACACATTAGCCGGAATACATCGATAATTGTTCGTTCAATTAATATTCCAGTGAAGCCGGAATTCAAGTACATCGCGAACATGCACGGCAACGAAGTTTTAGGGCGAGAATTAATGCTAAAACTGGCGGATTACTTGTGCGAGCAGTACAGAAAGGGCGATCCCAAAATTAGGGCGCTCATTCAATCTACGAGGATCCACCTCATGCCTAGCATGAATCCGGACGGCTGGCAATTGGCCACGGATACGGTAAAACTGAATTACACCGGAACTCGCCCGTTAATCTTGCGCTATTTTAATAACATTGCAGGGAGGCAAAGATTTCCTGATCGGTCGCACCAACAACAATTCGATTGATTTAAATCGCAATTTCCCGAATTTGGATAGGATCGCGTTTACCAATGAGGACGAGCACATTGATCACAATAATCATCTGTTGGAACAACTCACGCAACTTAACGAGCCAGTTAGTATGATTAGATATCCATTAATCATCAATCATTTTGAGCCCTAAATTACCGATTTTTAGAACGACTGATACCTGATAATATTAAAGAATGTTTTTTCAGCTTCAGCCTGAAACAAAGGCGGTAATCAGATTCATCATGCAAATTCCGTTCGTGCTCTCAGCTAATTTACATGGGGGTGATTTAGTAGCCAATTATCCTTACGATGACAGCAAATCCGGAAGGCAACGCGGGGAATATACCGCAACTCCGGACGATGAAACATTTAGGTAAACACGAATTTTAATATATTTTTTGTAGAATTAACACAGGTATTTTCAGGCATTTGGCATTGGCATACTCCACTCACCACGCGGATATGGCGAACGTGAACAGAAAGGGATGTGGCGATTTCGAAAGCAATTCGTTTCCGAAGCAAGGGGGAATCACCAACGGCGCCAAGTGGTACAGTTTACAAGGAGGTTGGTTACTTGTTATTGGATTAAAAACTAATTTATATTAAATACCTAAAGTGGCTACAAGTCGCTGAGCATTCCAATTAACTTACAGGCATGCAAGATTTTAATTATCTCTCGAGCAACGATTTCGAAATTACGTTGGAATTGGGTTGCGATAAATATCCTCCGGCCAGGGACTTGGAAAATGAGTGGAAGAGAAATAAGGAGGCTCTTTTGAATTACATGTGGCAGGTGAGATGAACTTTCACCTGGTAATTTAAAGTAGATCTTTACGTGATAAATTAATTTTTAGACACACATCGGGATTAAAGGAGTAGTCTATGATGTCCAATCGAAGAGGGGCATTCCGAATGCGGTTATTCACGTCAAAAATCTCACAAGTGCGAATTCATACGACATTAACCACGACGTTACATCGGGTAAATTAATGGAAATATAAAAATAAAGAGTTAAGTTAAGAAATAAAAATTTTACAGTTCATGATGGCGATTACTACAGACTTTTGACTCCCGGAAATTACAAAGTTACTGCATACAGAGACGGTTATTTACCTCACACGAAGTTAGTGACGGTTACTAATAAACCTCACAGCCCAGCTCAAAGGGTAGATTTTCCCTTAAAATCCATAAGCGTAAGTATAATAACTACTAACTCCTGTTTAAATTATATAGTAATTAAAAAATAGGTGCTTCTTATTTTTATTTGCTGATGGTTGTTTGTTTATTTGTTATTTTTTTTAGAATTGCTTTAGAAGAATATTTATTACAATAAATTTATAAGCAGGTAATAATGCGACACTTTTTATTTTCTTTTTATTTGAGCTTTTACCCTCCTGCGCTTTGTAAAATTATATTTTAGCGAACCTATAAATTAATAGAAATTGTTGCTTATTCTTTAGATTCCTCCGTACATGAGATTCCAAACGGACAACTATATCAATTCTAAAATAGAAGAAGATTTCGACAATTGGGCCGAAGATGCCGGACCGGTTCAAGAACCAATTGCCGTGCAATAAATGAAAATGTAACGGTGATTCCAATATTCAGTGTCAAAATTTTCGATCACAAACTAGTTTATTTTACGCACACATTCATACAATATAGTAGAAAACCAGTAACCCCATGATTTTTAGGTAAGGATTTTAAATTATTTTGTTGTTAATAGGAATAAGACCTACGAAATGTATCTATAAAATTTGAAAGTAAATTGTTTATTTTGAAAAGTTTCATTTATTTCAGCTCATTAAGTCGTTGTTTAGAAGAATTTCTACGAAATATAGATCATAAGATTTCGAGTTGGAATTTATAGGAAAGGGAGACAATTTTATAGGAGCAATGTATGATTTTTAAATTTATAATCTATTATTTAATTAAACTATTATTTGAATTTATAATGTTTGTCTTGGCTTAGATTTTGGTAAGTTATGGCGTAGGAACTGGCACATCCGCCATGATTTTGATTAATAATACGATTTCATAAATAAAAAAAAATAATACCTAAAATTTATGATTAATAAATTAAAATTAGGGAAATACTGAAACAATCTTTATTTTAACCGGCTGATGATCGTTATTAAAAAATATATAATTCAATGAAATTAGCATTATTTACAACGAAAATGGTGAGGAATTTCCAATGAGCTATTCTCGACATACTATTACATATGCAACCTTGATAATAATAATTCGTAATTTTTCGTTCAATGAATCTGTTTACAAAACTCAGCGTCGGATTTCTGGGTTATGTTGATTATAAAATACGAGTGTATTTTAAAATCTTATATGTTGTGATAAAAAACAAAATATATCTATAACTCAGTTGTATAGTTAGCGTTAGTGTTAACTGTAAACGCTTGTTTAGTGTTGTGCTAGTTGTTGACCATGATATGTAATAGAAATGCAGTAGATATAAATTAACGCACGGTAAGGTATTTTTTCATTCCTAATTATTATCTTTATCTATAAATTAAAAATGCAAATAGTACAATAGTAATGCGAGTATTTTAAGAATTCCAAGGAACTTATGTTTCGTTGAAGCGCAAATTTACACACGTTTATCGCTACTCAATTTCTTGTTAAATTCATTAAAAATACAAAGTCCAATGTTGCTAAATCATGAATAAAATAAGCGTAAATTTCTATATTAAGTTTTATTATTTTAGTAAAAAATGTCTCCAACTTTAGCATACGAAATAAAACCAGTCACTGAAGAAAACAGACAAGAAATTACTGATTTCTTGAGGACCGTGTTCTTCAAAGAAGAGCCTCTAAACGCCTACTTAGAATTAATAACCGAAGAGAATCAAGCATGTCCCACCCTCGAAGAATTCACCCTAAGACACCTTGATGACGGCGTCAATTTGATGGCGGTTCGAAACAACGAAATCATCGGAATATGTTTATGTGTAGCGGTTGAAAAGGGTGTAACAGAACCATTCGATTGCGAAAACGAAAAATACAACAAAATAGTAGAAGTATTGGACTACGCGGAAAGGCAATGCGATCCTTTCGAAGTATATCCTGAGTGCGTGAGAGGTGTCGCAGTACAAGTTATATCCGTTAAAGAATCCTGTACTGGAAGAGGAATTGCTGCACATCTCATCCGAGAAGCCTGGTAATTATCAACTAATATTTGTAAGATTTATTAGATTGAGGGCGACATTTTTTTTGTTTTAGCAAGATAGCTGGAGAGCGAAAATTCGAATTCATGAACATAACGTGCACAGGACTGTACTCAGCGAAATTAGCGGCGAAATTGAATTTCGACTTGAAGTATACTTTAAATTATTCGGATTATCAGCGAAATGGAATCGTCGTATTCAAACCACAACTGCCTCACACGTCTATTAATGTATATTTAAAAAAATTATAATACTGGACTTAATAAGGAACTTCTATTAATTGTAATACTAATATAAATTAAGTGACATTTAACAGTGAATGTAAATTTATAATATTTACGTGGGATTCACAAACTATTTATTTTTCGTACTAAATAAATAACTTTTAATTAAGTACTTTAATTATTAGGTTTTTAAGTATCTGTTTCTGGCCGTGAAAGCTACACGTTGAGCTTTTCTTACTACTTGAGGGCAGCGAGAAGAAGTTTTCATTTGACAATCGTTGAAAAATCCTTCGTTCCTCGGAAATCCATGAGTATTATCCGAGAACGTTGTTAAACCTAAAATTATTCAATCCAACTTTTATAACACGAACCTTTGTTAGTTTGTCTTTAATAAAAAATAATTTTATAAGTATAGATTTACCCAAACCCCAAATTTTTCCACCGCGAAACTCCCCTTCGTGTTTCATGCCGTCTGCTCTCCAAAAAACTCCATACCCATGGAACCACCCGTCGAAAAACTCCCCCTCGTATCTGCAGGAAAAGGAAATCATTACACCTCAGAACTTTATAAGTTTGAACTTACTTGGCGCCATCAGGGAATGATAAAACGCCAACTCCGTGGAACATTCCGTTTTCGAAAATACCATCGTATCTGGTACCATCAGGGAGTTGCAAGTGGCCTTCTCCTTGGCGTCGCCCATCGGAATTCCAGGAGCCTATGTAAGTGGTACCGTCCGGGTATTTGTACCCACCTTCGGCGGCGATTAGCACTAAAAAAGATTTACATTTTGTAGAAAATTTAATTATTTTACTTACAGCCTTCGTTACTCATGTTTTCGAGTTCAAAACTCATAAATTTAATTAGTGTAATTTAATTAAAACCTTTTATAATCCTGAGAGTTATGCAATACACTTTACATTTGTCAGTTAAGATAATGACAGTAGAGTAGAGCAGGGTTGCCATATAATCACATTTCTCTGCCAATCACAGAATACATGCTACTACAAAAATCAATATTAACTATTTTATTGAATTGTATCGTTAATATATTTAGCATTCATTCGAAAATAGTATTAACTATTAATATTACCACACAAATTGTAACTGTTTAATCGATAAAATCGTTTAATTTCGTCGTTGGAATACTAACGCCTTTGCAAAGCCATAGGCAATTTAACAACGCCGAAAAAAAAAGTATCGATTAGTTCATTTGCCCAAGTATTGTTTGTTTTTCCTAGGAAAAAATATTTTCCCTCCTTTGGATATGGTTTCCACTAGAGGAGTGAAACTGAAATTCGTCGAAGGCGAGAGAGTGCTCTGTTACGAACCGGATCCTACGAAAGCAAAAGTTCTATACGATTCAAAAGTAAGCTTAACCTCAAATCCCGATGCATTTAAACTATTGTTCTTTGTGTTGTTGGATCGATCAATATACTTATTTTGAATTTTTCATCAGGTATTGGATATTGTCGTCAACAAAGATCCCCGAGGAAAAAAGACGATTGAATATTTAATTCACTTCCAGGTAAATCGATTGCGCTTAACATCACAAAACATTGTTTTTAGTTTGTTTTGTTTTCTACTTTTTGAACACTTTTGTTTTTAACGGCAATTAATGTTAGTTTTGTACGATTAGTGGGTAAGTACTTGTGTGCTTTAGGGCTGGAATTCCTCTTGGGACAGATGCGTTAGCGAAGAATACGTACTGAAAGACACTGCGGAAAATCGACAACTGCAAAAAGACTTGGCCGAAAAGGCGCAGCTTCAATTGTAATTGTTCTTTCGAATATCAATTCACATCGTTTCGACTAACGGCTGTTTCTAGGGGAGCCTACTTGTACAGAAAGGAGAGGAAGAAGAACAGAAAACCGGGCGAACGGGCATCGGCTTCAGAAGATGGTAGTTCCAGTAGCCCAGGAAGGATGGATACTGACGACGGACAGGACATAACCACTACCTCTGAAGATGATTCATCTACAGAAGACGAAACGATTTATATAGAACTTACAGCGGAGTTGAGAGAAGTATTAGAGAATGATTATAACATGATTAAAGAGAAGCAAAAGGTAAACTCATTATCAGATAACTGAGAGGTAGATTATAAGTTTGTGTACATTTTAGCTCAGTAAATTACCAGCTGATCCAAACATAGTCACAATTTTAGAATCTTATTACCGGCATTATGCTAATAATCAAATCTGCGGGCTCATGGAGAAAACAACTGTAAGATATAGAACAGCCCTTAATCAAACTCAAGGTAAACCCAAACCTGAAGATGTTCATCGAAAGTAAGAAATACAAACTATGTACTATTTACAACCAATATTAATAATTATTTTTTTTCCAGTCTAACAATTTGTAGAGAAGTATTAGATGGTTTGAGAGTGTACTTCGATTTTACCCTCAACGATTTATTGTTATACAAGGAAGAAGTTGGTCAAATTGCTACGAAGCAAGCAACTTTCGAACCTTATTCAGGCGAAGTAAAAAACGAGTTAGTATATTTATTTATAATCACCTATTAGGTAAGCCATATTTATAACAAGAAGCATAACCTTTTGCTTTCAACAAACGAAGGAATTGTTTCAAGGTATATGTATAAAAAGAAGTGAAGGAATAGAGGATTCGCACCGAGGACCCTCCTGTTGCTTTAAAGCGAAAGGTGTTATGGTTTTAAAGCCATTGGATAAGGTTCCTTGCATTTTGCTCCTACATTTTACTTCATTTTTATAAATATGGACTATTATCTTTTCCTTACTTCACTTTTTGCTATACGATTCACGTTAATTGATTGCCTCTTTCAGATCTAAACGTGGAAATGATGCAAATAATTCTAATAACATGAATAATGGTAACTATTTGAACCAGAACGGAGACGATGGTGGAAAAATCAACGCCCGACGACGAACTTTGCGATCAAACCGAAGCGATTCCCAAGCGAATGGCAACATGTCGCCCAGAGAAAACAACACGAACAACAACAACAACAACGTTCCAAAACCAGCTTTAAGGTAACATTTTTAATCAATAATTATTTATCTCATTCGTGACTCTTTAATTTAGCGTTGCGAGCAGCAATTCAGACGTAACCGCTCCACTATCGAAGACCCTATCCTGGAAAATGTTACCGGATCACGTTTATCACCAACAACCCCCTCCTCCCTGCCTAATATACGGCGCTACGCATTTATTGAGGCTCTTTGTTAAACTACCCGAGTTGTTACTGACCACCACGATTCCTGAAGAAAAATTAAAAGTTCTGCTCAAACACTTCGACATATTGATCGAGTAAGTATACAGATAAGCGCTAATTTGTACGCAATACGGTATGATGGTCGGCGGACTTATAACTTTCTCACTAACTCACTATTATTTCACGAATCTTTCTTATCTAATGATATTTTTTAGTTTTCTTAATAATCACAAGGAGTGGTTCGGAGAACAGCATTACATCGATGCGTTTTGAAGATAGCTTGCGACAAAAGGGTTGTTCTAATGTGATATTTTAGGTTTAAAGATATGTAATTTAGTAATTTAATTACTGTTATCAGTGCAGTGAAATTAGCGTAATGATAATTTTATTTTTTTATGTTCTGAATTTTGTGTAAATAAAATGAATAATACTAATTGCAGGGTGCTTTATATTTTTTATTTTCTATACATATATAAATAACGACAAAAGTGTATCTGGTTTTTTTAGGCACGACTATTTAAAAATGCATCAAAAAATTTACAATAGGTAGTAACAATTAAAAAATAAAATGTCCTATGCTCAATTACATAATGTCAACATCAACGGAGTTACAACTTACAACATCAAAACCGTATATAATATTATTTAATTGAATAATTTAACTTTATTAGAGACGAAATATTTGCTGCTGAGAACTATAAGGCATCGAATTATTTATGTTGCTTGATGGTTTCGTCGAGCTTTTCGAAATTGGCGCCGCTGAAGCTCGCCACGGTTTCGCGGTTTTTCAGGAACACAAACGTAGGCATGGACTTGATGTTGTACTCCACAGCGAGTTCCTCGCAATCGTCAACATCGATCTGGAACAACAACAAATATCGTTAGATTCATTCGTTTATCGGCGTTGCACAACGTTGCGAAATAGGTACCTTGACGATGAGGACGTCTGGATAGGTGGTGACCAATTCGTCCAGTTTTGGGCTGATCATCTTGCAAGGACCACACCAACTGGCGGAGAAATCGAGAACGATCAAGTTACCTCCTGCTTCTGCGATTTTAGCATCTAAGTCGGGCTGAAAAAACAAATATTTTTATTAATTCTCAAGATTTCTGTGATCTTACAGAAGGCCGATAGGCCTTCGAGTTGTAGGTTTATGCGACAGAGCCCATCGAGACCAACTAAGTCGAGCTTTATTCTCTTCAGAATCATCCTAAATTTGTATCTATTTACATCTAGACCTCTATGAGTCAATGCTTGACTAATAACTCATAACGACATTGACTTGACTCATAACGCGTATACAGGGTGTCTCAAAATTGACGTCCGTCCTATCGGAATATGAATCAGGAGCCTAAACAAATGGAGTCGTAAGTTTGTTATATGTGGTCGTAAGAATACAAATTTTGCGTTTTGTCCTTGTTGTCGAGTTAATAATAAAAAACAAAGATCCAAAATTCAATCTGTACATCGTTTTTTAGTTTACATTTGCTTTATTGCTGAATTCTGAGAGGATCTGTAAGAGACAGTGAATGCGATTCTTATCTCTATTAGGTATAGGCTTATAGGAAATGACAGGCATCAATTTTTGAACATCCTGTATAGTAATTATGTCCAATATTAATCGGAGGTGAAACAAATCGACTAACAAAAATCGCCGTACAAAAATAGCATCAATCCCATCTAATTATTATAAATATTTAATCCCGATAATAATATAAAGACATGCGATTGTATCGACTGCAATGGGAGCCACTGAAACATTAAAAGAATTCAAATTAGACTACAGGCTAAGTGCGTTTCGCCTGTGGCGAAACAAAAGGAACAATTTTAATTTGAATAGTCAAAAGTGTGTGATTAATAAAATATGATCCGCGTGTATTTCAGTCGATGAAGTAACTATAAGCTGGAATTGTGAATGTAAACTTAATTCTTTTTAGTGCCAAGGACACTCTACAAAACGAAAATCATTATATTACTCATAACTAATAAAATTGCATGGGATGACTATGTGTTATATTTCCGACGATTTGTTGTTATTTTCGATCGAAATTTTTACCCGATTTTATTAATATCTGGATATCTACCAAAACCGCAACAAAAACCCAATGACACAATTCGTGTTAGAATTTTCTGTAATAATTTGGCGACTATTTTCTACAAATTTTTCAAAAAATATTGGTTTTAATTAGTTGATACCTGTCTATATTTAACTATTTAATTCGTTTATCATAAAGCCGACTATATCCCGTTTGTTTTTTTGCCGATTAAAACCCACCGCACTTTTTGCATTATCCTAAAAATAAGCTCTCTATCTATGCAGCAAGTACAATTCCTTTAAAATTCACCAAACCGCAACATAACTGATATTTTTTAATTAGCGTATTTACCAATCACCGCAACTAATTTCTATAGATAGATATTTTATGACGAAATGCAGAAATACCACACCTTTTACGGAATACGCAAAAAAAAACAAGCAAAACCAAAAAATACAATAGAAACTACGCGAAATTAATAAAACGTTAAATATACTCACTTTATCTTTGATTTGGTAGACCATTTTGAATATTAATTTGTAAAAAACAACTCGTACAAACAACAACGACTTAACTGCTCTGCAGGCCCAGCAAACGGAATATGCAAGGCGCAACGCAAGCAAGCAAGGAAGCAAGGCGGCAAGAGAATAGGATAGGAGAATAAAAAGAGCGGGAGAGACAAGTCTACGGAAAGCCACAGCCAGTCTATTGGTTACCAACGTCTATACAATTAATAGAATCCCCGTGGTTGTCACGTGTTGGAGAATTCCGTAGACCTTCCACAGCGCGCAACGTTGAAAGCATTCCACGATGATTCCACATGTTGGCTTTTTGATACCGGTTCTGAGGTTGTAAATGTGGCAAAAGCGGATCCGTTTCTACGTTTAGAAACGTTATCAGCAATCGACATACGTTCTACAGATTACAAATCTAGAATCGAACGTAAGGGAAGGGGAAGGTCATTTTTTTGAATCAATTTATTAGCTAATTGTATACTGTTTGAGTGTTTGCTTTGCATTTGCACTACGCATGAATTCGATTTGCTTGGGGATTCTATTACAAAGCCGAGAAATTCCCAATGGGAAATTTTATATGCTGTAAATTTTTATGATTGTTATACCACCAGTTGATGTGGAATTTTTTTCAGAATAAATTATATCTTATAGCATTTTGCTCCAATTAATACATGACATTTATTTTTAACGCCCTGAGTATTGACAAACACAAACTTGATAAAAAAGGTACATAGGAATTTTCTTAAAATATTTTAGATAAGATAAAGTTTTGCTTAGTAATTTTACCTGTGTACTACAAGTAAAAAGTACCTACATATTATATCAAAAGCACGTAGGTAATTACAATTATGGTAATTGTATTTATAATTTTATGACAAACGCTCGAGGAAAATTTTGTATTTACTTTCAAAAAGAGACGAAGAAACGACACACAACAACATACTCAATATGAATATAATTTATTCGTATAACAACATTAGGAAAATTACATATTTTATATTTTGTTCTACATTGGAGTAAAAACCGAGTGTGAATTGATAAATACAAATATCAAGTTATAGAAATAAAGGTAATGAGAGATGAGTAAAAAAAGTTAAAGCTAATTGTTTATTCTCTTTTAAATAAAATATAAAACCTCGAATCAAACTCAGTTCAATAAGTTTAACGGTATAAAATATACAAAAGAAGGAAGTAAATACTGTAATGTAAAGTAAGAAAAAAGAAATATAAATAATATTAAAATCCATTTCAACATCTCTAGGTACACTGGCAAACAAAATTAAATAGTACACACTAACACAAAAAGTTCAACTATAAGATAAACAATAGTTACTTAAAGATAAACTAAATATTTTTTTCTATGTACAAACAACACTCATTCCACACATATAACAAATTCTCACTCTTAAAACGAAACGCTAATGTATTGCAAAATTTGTTCGTTGTAATATAAAGAAAGGATCACAACAAGACATTACTATTTCTTGAAAAATGAACATTCTGTAGCACCATAGTTCGAAGTATTTGCTATGAAGCACCAGAATTGACATAATAAAGGAACGCATTGAAGTCCAGAAAAACATTTCCAATGAGCAAATCACATTACACAATAAATATCTAATTTATTAACAATCCACAAAAAATTTCATGTGCATTTAACAAATTATTATTACCTATAACCTAATCTATTAACAGATTGTAATTTTATTATTCTATAATGTTGTAGTAGTTCACTCAAGAACCTCCTGCCAGATATGCTCATTCGAAATTCGTATTAATATAATTTTTATATTCCGAATTCTAACGTCGCTCCAATATTTATAACATTTCCATCTAAGCTACTATTACTTAAAATTATACCCAAATCCTTCCACCTGATTGCACAAAAAACCCGATTTTTATTTATAGTTTCCGCCGAAGGGACGCCAGCAGTGCGGTAATACAGCTACATAAACGGGGAATAAGCCATTGAAATTAAATCAATCATGTTTTTATTTATCAGGTATACCAGTTTCGTTCAATTTCTTAGAATATCTTACGACATGTGTGTTTATAATGTTCTGGTATTGAATTAAAAATAGGTACTTGCCATTTGTCTTGCTAAAGCACTAAAAAGCTCTATAATTTGCTAACGTTGGGCTGATTTAGTGCTTTTAGACAAATTGTGAGTAATGTACTTATTTAGTTCCAACACCAGTAAAAATTAAAATGTACCTACTATTATAAATAACTTCAGATAATTAAACTATTCTGTATTTCAAAGGTAATAAAATGTTACTCTCAAAAGTTAAAGAACTTTATACACTAATAGATTGAATTAATTTTGAAAAAACTTGCGAGAAAATTTGTATGATATATTACTTATAAGAAATTTTAGGTAATTTTAAAATATTCTTAAGTAGATTACAATGTTGAAGGAGGTACACATTATATGCGTACCTACGTATGTTAGAAATTTCATGTAGGTATACCATGCACCTTAGTTTCAGAAACGGTATTAGAAAATTGTTTCCAAAAATACGGTCGTTCCTATGGGTTTTCCTCCTTTAACGATAGTTAGGCCTGATTCCTCGTTTTTCTTTCCATTTCCTGTAGATAACCTCTCAGTTATCAATAATGCAGATGAAGAATGTTTTTTTAATTTTTTGTAATGAAAAATATTATCACAGAAGAGATTCGACAGATCCAATGTAATCGAGAAGAGAATATGTTTTTTGTATTTTAAGAAACTACTACATTGGACGGATAAATTATAGTAGGTTTAGGTTTCGTGCAGCCGACGTTACACCTAGAAATAGAATAAATATATGTAAGACAGAGGATAATAAAAATTCGTAAAAGTAAAGTATACAATATGGTAATCGAATTAAAATTTGTTTGAATTTTCTGTTCCAATTTTCCTTTCATATCTGCTAGTAAGAAAAACGAGAACAGAAAACGCAGAACAATACTTTAAGACAATTACCATTATACTATATACAAGTACACACAATTCAATTATTAATTGTTTGAAAAGTAGTTAGACCATTGCTTGATTTCCCATTATTTTCAAAAATATCATAATTGTAATTAATATACAGGTACTAATTAACAACTATCCATTTATTACATTTTGTAACAAACTGTTCAAAATTCGAACATCGGTCTGCACAAAACCCTTTGGAAATAAAACGAAATTCAAGTACGTACTTGCAAAAGCATATTTGCAAAATTGGAATTAGTGAATTTAAAGTGCCTCTTATCGTAGAATTTGAGCAACGCGGGGCTGTAGGGATGTTTGTCTTTGAGATGCAAATAATGGACTTCGGGTTCGTTGGTCGTGTGGCCGCATTCCTCGCAAACATACACTTTTGTGCGCCGCTCCTTGTAGGCGTACTGGTGCTGGACACCGTGTACTTTCAGGCAGTGCGACTCCAAGGAGCAGCGTTGCGTGAACGACTTCTCGCAGAGGCTGCATTTGTACGGTCGTACACCTACAAAATTAAAATAGAATTGAGCAAAACGAATCGTTTACAAATCGACATGCGCCACTGTAGGTATCGTACTTACCTGTATGCGTCCGAGTATGCCGCTTCAAATCGAAGGTGTCGTTGAAGCCTTTGCCGCAAAACGTGCACAGGTATCTTTTGATGTCCGAATGGCATTTCATGTGCCTGTTCAACAGACGCTGCAAGGCGAACGTCTTGTTGCACACTCTGCAAGCGAAATTCGTTTGGCCGTCCTCCGTCGTGACGGAAGCCACTTTGGTTTTGTCCTCAGTTCTAGAGTTGCCGCGCACCGCGTCCTGGTTGGCCAATGGGTTTTTGATACCGTGACCGCCGTTGACGAACTCCAATTGCACCTCAGCCGGTAGGCCCAACTGAAAAATAAACTGAAAATATAACACGTACGATAAGATGAAGGTACAGGATGATTTATCATCGAGTCTTCTGGCAATGGATATGTATCATGATATGTATTGAAAGAAGTTTTCCCAGTTAAATTAGGAAAGCAACGTTTTTGATTCTTTGGCAGTGCTGAATGTCTCGCAAAAAATGTAAGTAGGTAAATGGTGAATACTTATATCTCATACACACAAATAACAGAATAGCTTTCATTTAACTAACAAATCAAGTGATGCTAATATTTAATTGTATTCTCCAAACAACTACTAATAAGCACTAGAAATATGCTTCGCCTAAAATCAAACCCCTTGCTTACCCTATGTAACACATTAACCCTCCCTTGCAGAGAGGGTGAGTCGCTGCCCGTGCTATCCCTCCTGCCACTCACATTAGCTGGAGGGCTGATGGGGCCCCCTTCGCCGTGCTGCCCGTCCAGCGAACAACTGGCCGCCCCCGGTGATGGCAGGCTCATGGTCGTCGGCGAGTCCAGGTCCAGGCCGCTGCCGTTGAAGGAGAGCGTCGGAGACAGCATCTGCTGCTGGTGGAGCTGCGATTGGATGGAGTTCTCGTGCAGCGGCGATTGATAGGGCGGCAGCGATTCGTTGTAGATTTTGGAGAAGTGGTTGTGAGCGTAGTTGTTTCCTCGATTCTCGTAGTTCCTTTAAAACGTTTTTGGTTATGCGATGTTCGATATTAGTTGCGTTTGCTAGGCGTACCTGTTCAACATTTGATCGCTGAACGAGTCGATGCTGTCACCGACGGGTTGCAGGTGGGAATCGGGTGTCATGGAAGGCGAGTGGATGCCGTTCGCGCCTACTTCGTCGTTGTCGTTGTCTTCGCTTGGAAGTCTCTGGAGGAACGTGGATAGATCCGTCGCGTCGGGAAAGTTCTCCAGTAGCGCGTTTTCAGCCGAACTGGAGAACGTCAGCGTGGCTGTAAATTGAAGCGGATCCACGACGGTTCCTGATCAAAAAAATCTTTCATTACAAAACAACTTCTGCAAAAATACTGGTAAGAAATGAAGAATGAAATTTACAAAGAATTCAATAATTAACATTGGACATTACCCGTTACTAAATCTACCATCATGGATTCATCATAGCTGGAATATCCACCAGGAAGTAACTGATTCATAGGATCCATTTTTCCTTCGTAAATATCCAAATCGCTTTCGTCTTTCATGACGATGCCGTACGATGCATTTTGTAAAGTCGAATATTGTTTAGGTGGACTTTGATTTCCGTTTATAGACAGATTAGCGAGATCCTGTCCGGTGTCGCAGTCCATGTTCTGTTGATTTGAAAGTAAATAGTTGGAGGAAATGCTTCCGTTAGGATTGAAACCGTTCCCGTTGCTTCTCTCTGCAAAACAATTACGTGAAGATAATTGTTTCAGATTTATCTAACTGCTACGCAATAAATTCATAAGATCGAAAGTAATTGTTTAAGTACCTTTTAACGTTTCGTAAAACGGCGGCAAACTGCCCGTAGGCGGGCTGCTAGGCCCGTAATTCTGCCTACCGTCTCTTCCGGGATTCATTCCACCACTTCCCGTGCCTCCTCCCATAGCGCCGCCACCAATACCTCCCGACGATCCACCGCTAAAATTAATGCTACCACCCCCGCCGGAGGAAGCGTTGCTCGATTGATTTCCGGATCCTTGAGAACCGGAAGATCCTCTTCCATGTCCCGCCGCCGCCGACATGGTCACCGGAAGTTTTCCAGCTATTGTCCTGCAATTACATTAAAATTTACAGTTGTTTGTGTTGAGGATGTGGTAAGTAATGGACAGTACCTGACAGAAATTAGAGGTTTGCTGACTTTAGAGCAATGGCTCCTCCTTTGCTCCCTTATCTTCCTTTCCTCGTCTTCGTTTTCATTTTCACCTCTCCGCTTCGGTATGTGATAGTCTATCGGTTGCTCCTGCTCCGGCTCCTGTACCACCAAATTCGTTGGTACTCTGATGTCGGTGTCTTCTTCCCTCTTCGTGGACGATTTGGGCGTCCGCTGTATGACGGAGAATTGTCGAACGGGCGCCAAATTGGCCGGTCGCGGCGTGTCCTGCGAAGGCTTCTGGCCGCCGGGCAGCGTTATCTTTTCCTGCTTGAACAACGACGGGTATTCCTTGCGCTCGGCCCTGGTCAGGACGTGTCCTCGGCTGCCGTAGGGCTTGTCACCGCCGAGGATCGATGAGATGAAGCGTCGCGGCGGGATGTTCGTGGGCTTGGGGGTTTCGGGCGATGGGGACTTCGATTTTGCTCGTTCATCCTGCTTCTTTTCTCCATCTGAAACGACATCGGTTGTAATAATTTAAGAGAAATTGGTTAACAAAGGAAAATTGGTAACCGAAGCTTTGGTTTTTTTGCTATGGCATTAAAAAATGATTTGGTAATCAATTGGATCTACTGTCAAGGTTGTATACAATGCGTAAAATCGGTTCGTTGGCCTCATAGAAAAATACCAGTTTTCGGAACCTTGAATTCGTCTAGTATATGTGGTAGTAAAAGTATTGGTAGGAAATTTGCGATAATAATTATCTATGATTTTGCGAATTATATTTTTTTGCATGTAAATGTCTACTAAATATTTAAATAGACATGATTTTTAAAACTGAGTTATGCTAACAAAAGAAGATACCCAGGTAATTAGTAAAAAAGCGAAAAGTTCATCTTAATTTAAAATTTCATAGTGCAATATCCTTTCGACTATTTTTACCAGATATTCATGAAATCCGTTATCACGGACTATCGCCTCAACTTTAATGTGATTAATTTCCATGAATCGCTATTTTAAATTTAAATGTTATCTTAATATGTGCAAATTCATATGTAAAATTTTCTACTTAACTGGTTAAAGACTTTTAACCTAATATTATTCAATTTCAATCTCCAAAAAAATTAGTAATAAATCTTGGTTGCGGTACCGCCAAAATTTATAGGTGCCTACACAAGTGTGTAAATTTTAGAAATGGATTATTTTTGAAATTCTATGAAAACTTAACAACAAAATTGAATTTCCTTGTCAGTGCTTAGTAAACAATACACCTATAATCAATTTATTATTTCTTGCCGCCAATAAAGGTTAAATATAATTTCAATTCGAAAATATTGTTATTTTGTAGCAATTATCAATAAATCACGATACATTTGTTGTAAGCTTAGTTTAAACTTAATTAGTAGTTTAGACAGCTTTTGTTTCTCCGTTTGTCTATTAAATTACATCACGAATGAGTGGTTTAATTCATTCTAACAACGACAAGGTTAACTAACGTTACTGTTTAACAATCCTTGATCTTCAAAAGAATACTTTTTTAATCGAATTAATAGCAGCAGAAATTATTATTATTTTGATTGAATGTACCTACTTTTAAGATGATTTTTTTTAAATAAGCAGGTGTGTAAATAAATATTAGAAATATTTATATCAACTTGTTGAGCGAAAATTTTGTTATCTTGGTGATGAACTGAATGGTGATAACATAATGAATGTTATCTAAGCTAGTCTTGTTTTTAAGACATTGACTTTGATAATTATGTAAAAATTTATCGTAGAAAAATAAGAGATATACCTATACTACAAAATTATGCAGTAAAGTAAAATAAAATAAATTTTTAATATTTTTTAGGGCTACATTCAATTTGATCCCTTCTCTTTAGACCTATTTATTCAATCCGTACAATATAGCTATTTTTTATATCTTAAGGCGCGTGTGTCGATCCATTCACACAACCCTTACTGCATTCACAAAAATCCCTATTATTCTCTCTACGAATACGTTACAACACACTCCACATAACCCAGACATTCTCGGTGTTCTTATTTTATTAATACGGACGGTAAAGTAATCGACCCGTTCGGCACGTACGAGGTCCTTAAATCGTAAATCGTACACGTGAAAGTGAGTTTTTTGAGCGGTTCTCAAAGTCGCGAGCAAAGAGTAAAGAGATACCGGTTTGGGCTTCGCAGGTGCTCGCTCATACCGATCTGTAAAATGCCTAACCGGACACTCGTGGAATAATGATAATCCGGAGTGGAACATCTTCCTGCCGTTGCAGGATTGGATTTAGCCACTAGAATTAGCCGCTCGATTAATCGACTAAAATAATTGGTAATTATGTCGATAATGAATTTATTAATACATGGTTGTTTGTGTTAAATTAATTCGTTAATGGATATATTGATTATTCTTTGAGTAAATAAGAGATTACATAGCGGGTGTGTGAAATGTGCTTCAATCCGTTTTCCTACTGATATTGACCCAGAAACTATGAGATAACTTCTTATATCATTGGTGTGAGAGAGAGAGAGTTGCTGTTGAGGAATCGACACTTTCTACACGCATTTTTATTGTGTAATATCGAAATACACGCGCATAATTGGCCTTGAACTCATGGTCATCGAACTTTCATATAATCCCAATATGATCAAAATTACTTCTTCTATTGTTCAAATCGATTAGTTGTTAATTAATCGATAGCGCGAGCTGAATTAAATCGCAGCAAACGCTATAAGAAAGTACCTACCTATAACAAACATGTTTTCTATGTATATTTAGATTTTGTTTTACATTAAAATCGACCGTTTCCTTTGTTTACGTCCGAATTCCCCTCGTTAATTCTGCAAAACGATGGAGGCAAATTTATGCGCACGTGCCTCCGAAGCGGAATTATTCGCGAAAAGGTGAACGGTACCGTTTTTAAAATAGGCTATATCCTAATAAATCGCTCCGTTTTTCGCTCTCCTGCGAAATCAACATACTACGATAGTGCATCTATTACGAGTAGGTACAGCGCGATTTGAAAACCAAAACAAGAGGTAGTTAACCGTTGTCGAATGCCAAACTTTTAAAAAAATCCACGCGCCACTCGTAAATAGATTCGCAGGAACACAAGACTGTGATAAGGAGATTAGGATCGTACATTAATCAGATAAAATAAACCCAAATCCTTGGCAAGTGTACTTATACATATTATAGAATATAAGCGATTCAAAAAAAGTACAAGATACTTCTTACGAGCGACCACCTCCTTTAAAGGTCGTACGCTCGCGATTGTCGAGCCTTTTTTCTTCGTAAGGTTGACCGGATCAAACTGATTTTTCTATACGAAGCGAGTTTAATTTACGGCCAACGTAAAAGGGCACGAGAAGCATTCTGCTGTACGCTTTTTACACCGCAGTCTGTTCTACACGAAATTATTCGAAACTTTATTAATACCTACAGGGCCACAGGAGTAGCTGCGTGCATACAAAGGTTGAGTGCGCTGCGGTAAAATTATGCGGAGGTTAAGGTTTTTGCTGGGTAGTAACTGTGGAAATACTTGGAATGAATTAAACTGGCCGGTTACCACCAGCATGGTTTTTGAATATTCAGTATTATAGCATAACATATACAAAAAGAGTACACCTTCAAATGCGGTACCCACATTACAGACAACAGTACAATCTACCTGAAGATAAGTGAAATAGGGAACGAATTAATTGCACTAAGTGGGCAATATTAATCATTTTAATTGTTCTGTTTGTGATATATTTATTACAATTACGATACGATTCATATACACCTGACTGGATATTCTGAGTGCAGGGAGCTATTTTTTTTATTTTTCTGTTGTATTTTGCACCAGAATACACAGTACAATATTAGCGTGTCTCTAATGTCTAATTTCTTATATGTACCTGGTACATGTGCAGTTGAATGCTACCAGCAAAACGCACGTTCAGCTTTCTCAAGGCCGATTTTCTTGTAATCTTCGAAGAACAATGCTCTGTTATATGATCGTTTCTCGATGCCGGTCTGCATACATTTCGGAACAACGCGGTTCCTTTCTTCTGTTAGTACCTACATGGTACTGCTTTGGTACTTATTTATTCGCTCATTTGGTTGGCTAATTATTCGAGGTCGGTCTCGATTTGTTTTAGTTTCTGTTATTTCAGTAAGAAATAGCCATATTTAAACATAATTTCGGTGTCATTCTGTAAGTTGAGCGAGTTACTTTTGGGATTTTTTAATTCACGAGGAAATCTGCTGTTTGATTTAACAATTAGCGTATTTCTGTTAAAAATTGGTTCAATTAAATTATCGTTGTTATTCTAAAGAGTTAACTCTTCGTAATTCTACCTGCACAATAAACGTAAAATATCTTTAAAACGGATTTTATTTAAGATACTGTGTTTTTAAAAACAAATTTATCCTACCTTTTCACTATTAAGATCTCAGATAGATGAATAAAATTACAAAATTGTCATCAGGATTAAAGAAAATGTTGTATTTACGTCATTCAACGTTTCGGAAATAATAAAAAAATGAACGCGTCTCCAAACGAACTATTTATTGTACCGAAAAGTTCATTAAATTGGATTTACCTTGAAATTTAGCATTACAATTTTAAATTTGCCTTTAAATGAATCACAAAAGTTGACATAAATACATACCTATATACGCTTTCGTTCTAAATTACAAGATTATTAGAACGAAATTAAAATAATCGACAATGGGTACTCGATTTTTCATTTTCCTAACCAATTTTGAAATAGAAAATGAATACAAAAAGTCCATACTAGCTTTAAATACAATCCTTAATTAGCTGTTTAAATGAATAATTGTCCGATAATTAATTGGTTTAACGGACTGTTTAACTCATTAATAGATAACTAGTTGTTAAATATTCAATAACTATGCAATTACCTTTATAGTGAATTTAGAAATATTTTAGTAATTTAGAAGCTAACTGTTGTTTGCACCGAATGTGTTTGTGTAGATCGGACTTTTTACTTAAATATACTTAAGTTGAAAATTAATGGTGGAATTTCTATTAATAAATTTTATAAACAAAACTAATTAATATTTGATAACGATTTTTATACCAAATTCGTTGAACCATTATGGAAAGTACGAAATAAGCACGAATGTCAACGGATGCACAATTTGAAATCATTCATATTGGTTTGTAGGTCGCCGATTGAATTAACGCTAGGATGCAATAATTGTATTCGAATTCATTGAATTAATGCGATTGTAAACCAACGATTTCATTGTGCTGACCCTATTCCAAATTAGATGCATTGGAATATACCGAATCATCATCGTTGATCATCAAATCTTCTTATTATTTTTATAATAATAAAAAAAATCGATTGTAATGAAACGCTGAAAACACGGTATGAAATGTAAAGTGGCGAGCGAATATTGCTTTCATTCTGAAGTATTAAAAACGCCGGCAGGATACCTTGAGACCCCGACTTCCTATGCTTTCATTATCATGTTTCGACTCTTTGTTGCGAATGGTAAAGAGCCGGCAATTACTATACAGTGGCGTACTTTCAAAAGAAATGATGAGCGTAAAGATATCTTTAAAAGGGGTTGAATTTTAGAAGTTTTCCATCTATTTTAAAAGTATGAATTATAACGAGCTGAAGTTATAGATATGAGAACTAGAAGTTATAATTGAGGAAGTGCCAATTCTAGATAGGCGAAATAAATAGTTAAACAAATTATGTAAGTTTTTTAACACTTAGATTACGATGAGCACATCAGCTGGTTAGTCGTTTTCACTCGTTCTATCTACTGTACAGCGATATGTCCGTTTCAAGGATCACGGCTTAGTGGATTTTTATAGTTTTTATTGTTTATATTTTACAACAGTAAATATTACGAAAGCATTTATACACCGCTTACACCTTCGTCGCAACGTCATTAAGAGTTCGTCTCTTTATTCGGCATGTCCGAAATGTGGGTCAATGTTCGTGTGTCACAATATCGCGCAAAAGGGACGAATTACTTCACGCTACGCTTATACAAAAAAGATGTGCGCTTCAGGTGTTTGTACCAGAATAATTAATTATAATCTAAGCTAACGTCTAATTTTCTTAATCTAAATTTAATGTACGAATTCAATCTAAATGAATTCATTTATCAAATTTTTTTATAAATGAAATTGTACGCGTCTGCATCAGAACCAAAATCAACTTCTCTTTTAACTGGTGTAATTAATAGGTATAAAACGCTATATTATTTAATTACGTAACTGCCCGGTTTTTCAAAAAACCTACCGTTTTTATAATCTATAAAGGTTAGTCATTGAAACTGCAATTCCTCTTGATGTAATTGTACTTTAAAAGCCAAGGTTAAAGTGTCTCGATTTAACCGATTAATAAAACGTAGGTTTTCTACTGCGGATTTTCTGCGAAAAAAGCATAGGCGTGTAAGATCTAATTTATTGAAATGTGATACTTTTTGATTTCCATAAGTAGGTATACCTAATCCTGAAAATTTTACTAGATTTCAATATTTTCCAATTCTTCCTGTAACACTCAAATTACTAAAAAATCAATCTCTCACAACTTATAAACTTAATACTGCAGGTAATAGAAATAAAAATCGCCCAAATTTCTTTATATGTATACCTAAAAATTCTCTCTATTCTACATGCAGTTTCACTCGTGATCCATCATTGAAATCTCTATCATAAACCGCACCGAACAATATCTCGAATTACTCAGTTTCTTACAATCCTAATTTCTAACATAACTATCTATTCTTCTATTTCCGAAAAACTGGTAATACAATACTTTCTCTACATTAAATCCCGCTTACAAAACCAGACGATTTAAAAGACACCCGACTAGGCAGGTAGACGAAAAGCCCCCCTGCTACCCCAAGAAAACGACTCCGATGCACGAAGACCGTTTTACCGTAACCGAATACAAGAACAACAGGTATGCAGATGCGTGCGTATGCACTTCGTTTTCCAAAGAACAAGTGTAATAGCCATGGGGAGAGTGGGGAATGCACTCAAGCGTTTTATGCAAGCATGTATAATATTTTAACGAATTTAATTTTTATGACGTTTATAGCAGTTAGGTATCTACAAACTTTTTAACTGTGTAACTGATGTTATAAAACAATTCTTAACAGGATGATTATATTATTGACCACATTTCCCCTATATTGGCTGTGAAAACAGACAGCAAGTGTCTGTGTTTCTACATAGGTGCCTACTCAACGACATTGCGTGGCCAAATTAAGAAGGTCATTTTCAATTAGCGGCTTTTTAATGGTATTTCGTTAGGAATATCTACTAAAACAAATAACAGTTCAAACTAATTAAACATACAGTTTCATTTGTATTGAAGCAGGAAAACCGATGCACGTGGTAAACTTTGGAATACCTGTGAGTTTACCAACAGAAATATTTCCTGTATTTATCTATCTATACCAATAGATATGAATCTACATATTTTAGACTATTTATACTCGTAAATTGAAGTTGTTAGAAAACAATTTGGGTATTGAACTTATTATTGATTTTATACAGCCCACAACAGTATCTATATTAAAATGTGTTTCATTCATGAACGTTTCGTTTACTCAGTTATGCGAACTGTATATAGAATCATATTTGGATAGTAAGTTCTGCGATTATTTCAATAAAGAACAATGGTAAATGGATTAAATAATAGATGACTAATTCAATTACGTATTTTAAATTATGCGTTTTATATAAACTACATTTTTCCTCGAAACTATTAATTCAGCAGGGCAAATCTTTAGGAGTGTTTCATGAAAACAATAAGATAAAAGCTCTTTCCACAGAATGTTCTATAAATTATGTATTTTCTTTATTGAATTACTTACACAAATTTATTGAAATGTAATGTTTTTTAAAATATCCACAACTGAAACGTTTGGTGTACATTTTTGATTGAATAAAATTTTTATAGTCATCTTATTAATTTTTATTCAAGACGTTAGTAACGAGGAATTTTAAGAATTTAATCCTTTTTACTTGTCCTTTCAATATGAATTGCTAAAACATATAATATCTACAAACTTACTGTTAGCAGGTTTTACTCAATCAAAGCTGGTTTTAAGTTACCGGTTTAATTAGCAAACATACAATTGATTTATAGATATAAATTGCCGTTTAAACAAATATACATTTACTTAGGTATATTCAATATTTTTTTAATAGACGAGTTTAATTAATACAGGTACAGCTCATTTAAATTATCTACCTGTATAGAAATGCATTTGGGTTGTATGTGTGTAGATCAAAAAAATTGTAGTTGAGAAGCAATAGTCGTAGAAAAGCTAAAAAACTGAGTGTTTAAAGTGTGTTTAATGAGTAGATATAGGTAATATAAAAAAGTGTTTTCATAAATGATCAAAATGGGAATGAAGTTTTTTTACCGGTACCTACTTCCACTAGTAAATTCACCAAAATATTATAAATTACTTAAATTAGGTAGGTTGTTGATATTTTGGGAAAGAGGCAATCGAAGGAGAAATTAATGATAATTATCCTTACCGTCTTTTTTGCGTACGATCAATGGCAAGGGTTGATTATCTCCGATTCCAAGATCGTTCTTCGCGTTTCCGGCGTTTTGAGATTCGAGCCTCAGTTGCTGTTGCTGCTGGTGCAACCTGTTTTTGATCAAAAATATTTTCGGCATTTTCGAGTTTAGCGATAGACAACAAAAAAAAATCCAAATAGTCGGTGGCACAACCACAAAACAGTCACAAGATCACATCACAACGCGACCGGGAATCCCTGCAGGTTGCGATAGATGTAAACAATCATCGTTTGGCGTATAGAACAGAATATTGTCTCAATGTGAGCAACAATTAAAAAAAACAGACGTACGTGTCAAACGCTTCAAAGTCCTTGTGAAGACTGATGACCGCTGGTATAACCAACGATGTGAACCGTTGTGTGGGTTCCCCTCGCCGCGTGTCCCCCGTACCATCATGGTGAACCTGTAAAGGTTACCTATTCTCAGTATCTTGGCATTGGCGCAAGGATCAAGTAGTGGGGGTACCAGGCTTGTGGTATCCGGCTGGGTACCCGACGGTACTTGTATGGTCGATCCTGGGGACTTGCCGGTTTTTCTTCATGCCTTCGTAAAGCGCTTTGTCGTAATTTTAATTATTTATCGAATTGTTCATCTCTATGTGCGGAAAGCTGGCGGTTATTTATGGCGCTTTTATGGTATTTCATAACGATTTGCCTATGTTTGGTTTTAAATGAGGGAACAAGAGCTGCTTGGCAAGTTAACTTTTGTCCTCGTGAAAGAACAATTCTTCGAAATTTACTTTTAAAGAATTCAATACCTAAATAGATAGGTCTATTAACAAGAAAACTTCTTAATCCAGCAATGTTATACCAACATAAAAAGTAAATAACTCGAGAAAATTTAAAGTTAATGAAGTAGAACACAAAAATTTACGTTCTTTATAAATACCTACCTACTATAATCAAACAATTATTTATAACTGTACTTACCAAATTAAATGAACGACTTATTGAGATTCCTAATAAGTAACAACTAATTATATTCCCAATTATAGAAAAAAAAAATTCAATTGATTTGCAATAAGAAAATAAAGCCAAAAAATCTTATATATTTTTTTATTTATTACCTACCTCCAACTGAGTATGTATCAACCTCATGTTCCTTTTTAATGCGCTTAACAGTAATAAAACGTTCTTCGGTTGCAGTTATTTATTATGGCAACGAGTCGAAGAAATATCTGCATATAATAAAATCTTCTGTTAAGCCGTGATGAGGTAGATTCATTTTATTCTCTCGTCTTACATATGTCAGACAGTAGGTATATTCACCACCGCAAGTATAAGAAAATAATGTTGCATAATGTTGGAAAGAAAATCCACTTGATACCTTATAATGATTTGCTTTTTATAAGGTAATTAGCGCCAATAAATTTATTGATTAGTGGGTATTATCTTCTGAATACATCGTGATTCTGTAATCTTTTTAAATTAAATTTCTTTCAAATTAATTGGACGGTGCATCACGTTATCGACGATGGATTTAGTGACCTTGCACATATTGTAACAGCCATTCTAAAAAAAATAAAATAAATTATTTATTATTATTTATATTGAAAACCATAAAGATTTGAATATATGTTTAATACAAATGATCATAATAGAAGTACACAATTATTATACATTCTTAAATCATGCTGTACTCTATCATTACGGTTCGTTTTTTTACCTCGAGAGCATGCTTATCCCTTTTTTTATTGCTTTTATTCATGCCAGAAGAGCGACAAGTCACGTTAAGTTCGAAAAAACGCGGCTGTACCGGCACCGGAATGCGCCCTTGATGAATAAAAAAGTAATTCGATACAGGTTCGGTACGATGTGGTTGCGTTACATACTTACCCCGCTAGCTCGAGGTAAATATTTATATGCATGCATAGGTAAGTTATCCACACACTGATTTTGAGTGGGTGTATGCATAAATGTTGAATAAAAGCTGCGAATTATTTTAGTATTATCCAGACAATTTAGAATTGTGTATAGAAAAAGTGTTCTATTATTTTGTGAATCATGCATGCAGCAAATTTCACAGGAATTATTATTTCATACTTTCAAGTTTATAAGAAACAACAAGTTTATTGTTAGTTATGTTTACTAGATATACTTGGATATGTGGAAGTAAGTCTGTTAAAAATTTTAATTGAAAATAATAAGTACGGGAAACTTATGCCTTCCCATCAACAAGAAGGAATGCAGTAAAAATGTGTGCAACGAGAAAATGATAAGCAAAAATGCTAAAAACCTGCTTTTATTTTTTTACATGTTAATAATTGTTTGCGCTTAAGGATGTTTCATTTGTAAACGCGAGGTGTGGCGGACACAGCCCGGGGCGTTTAAAAACATCTTTGTTATTAATCAACCGAACGTATTCATTCTTATAAGCAGTTTTTTTTCTGTAGAGCAATTTTGTAATTTACTTCCAGGGCTTCGCATTCCTTGCGCCTTATGTTCTCAACTACAACAGTTAGGTACTTTATTGATTCATAACCAATTTTAAATAAACCAACTCACTATTATAGAATCAAAATATTCAACACTAACCTATCGAATACCTAGACGATCATAAAATAAATATACAAATCGTTGGAAAAAACAGAATAATTGAATCACGTTTCGCTCTTTCGATCAGTTTCCTACATTAGCATATACTTAATTAAAAAACAAACTTTCATTCAAGCATAATTAACATCGATTACATAGAGCAGGTATGAAATAAACAAAGAAAACCCGTCGCTGTCATGTCGATGTATAAAACCTCTGCGATGGCAGCTCGTCTTGTTACGTGATTCGCGAAATCCGATCGAACATGCTACGCAGAATGAAGTAGACTTGAAATTGTTCTTCGTCTGTGGTAAGAATGCCAAGATCACGGTCTATTCGTCGCGGCGTTGCTCGATTCGTGCTTCCTTCGAACAGTCCGCTGGATTCGGACGAGCGAGACCCGGTGGAGATCGGCAACGGCGCGCACTTGGCCGTAATATTACAACATAATGGTTTCGCATGCTGGTAACCGTACTTCTAGGCGAAATATTTTAATTATTGTATGTTTACTTTTTATTCGCTAGGTTTCGTTTGCTTGTTTTGGCTCGCCTACCTAGCCTTGCGATGTTCTGAATAATCAATTGGTTTTGTTAACCGGCGAAAATTGTACGATAATTCGATTATTTAGCGTTTTATTCAGCCGAGTTTGCTGTTCGACTGGGTTACTGTTCTCTACTCCTGTTGATATCTCCCAACTACAGCGCTTGTAGGGTTACTGTTCTACTCTATCATTATAGAGTTTTTGTTATAATTTAACAAAAAAAACTGTTCATAATCTTCATTTTTTTTATAGATTATTTTTGACATACGCAATAACATACATTTATTTGTTTTTTATAAAAAATAGGTATTACTGCTTATAAATATGTATTTTATAAACTTTATAATTCTAAGAAAACGATACTTCTAGCGAACTTGTTATCTACAAAAATCAGATATATTTCCGAGAAAGGTTTATAAAACATCTACCCAAATATAGGAAGCCGATTTTACGTAAAAGTAAAAGTAAAAATCTTGCGAAATATTAGATAGTTGTACAAAAGCGATGGGCCGGTTTTTTATGAGGGATGAATAGCTTTCGGCAAAATTATTTGAGGACAATAAAAATTGTATTGGGTTTCTGACTTGGATAACAGAGGGTTGGCGCGTTTCGTTTATTGTAGATATACCTATGTATACTTATATATCCATTTAGGCAATTTGCACTGGAGAAGAGGTATAATTTAAGGAAATTTTGAAATTTTTCCATTTTTTTTAATTTTATTTTGATACATGCCTGATATGCCAAGTACAACTGTATAGGTAATTTAATTCTTGGTTACTTTTCTTCTATGTAAACATATAACAAAGCCCTGGAGACTTTGTATATAAAATAGACCTGGTCGAGTTTAAAATAAATTTAGTGCTGCCCATAAAAAAAGGATTAAATATCGGAATCCTTTAAAAGTGCTTATTGGAGGATCTTTATAACTTTTTAGTGACTATAAAATATTTTATTTCGTCCATCTTCTTTCAATAATATTTTTAAAAATACATTGTTAAAACCAATTTGAAATTATTTAATATTCATTCAGAACTATTCTCTATATTTGCAAGATATTTCACATTATTATAATATAAATCGGTATTAGATGAAGCCAAAAATACCCTATAACCCTATATCTATACTTAATTATTAATTTGGCATTAATAGTTCGTTTAAAATCTTCCTTTAGAAATTAATACCTGTTTTTCAGTTAACATTTATAACAAATTAATTGATACGTAATGAAACAGTTTAATCTTTAAAGTTCGATTCAATGAACGTTAATCTTCCTTTTCACGGATTCCTGCACGCTTGAACATTTTAGAACAAATCGCGCCGATTCCCAACGAAAAATTCCTCTACGGTGATTTTTTTCTTACGCTCGCCAACCACAATAAAAATCGCGACCGTTAGAGTTTCATAAAGCTGGTAATTTTCAATAGTTCCGTCCGATCAAAGACCTTCGGATGTTCTCATCAACGTCGGTCGTGTGTGAAATACCCGCTCCGTAAATGTAATAAAGAGAGCAGCTTCTTTTCCTCTCCTGATTATCGAGTAATGTATAACATTAAGCAATTATATGGCATCTAAGCTAACCATATGTAACTTAACTGTTAACTTCTCACAATTGATTGGCCGAATGAAAAAAAAAAATATTAATGTTATACCTATTTATATACCTTTATATGCTTCGCTTTACTAAGGTTACGCATATGGGATTTAATATAAAAAAATAGAATACTTAATTAATAGATTCTGTCGAATTGAACCTATTCAATAATAAATTGCGATTTTTCTTTTTATTGTAAACGCTTCGTAACCATCACTAAAATGTTAGTTCCTATTATATATTTTTGAAGCTAATATAAAGCGGTCTTTGAACTTTTCAATGTGAATTGTTTTGCGGTTCTGGGATTTTAAAATTAATTTCAACCGTAGAATAATTTCATGATTATACATGCGTGTACTATACAATAAAAGGATGAAATAATGGCGATTTTTAGTGTTAACTTCAAAAGTGGGTAGGTATATACTTTTAATTTCAGAAAATTAAGACAACATTAGAAAGAGGTTAAAAATTATGATGACTGGTATATCTAAACAATTTAATTCCTACTGAATCGGTTTTTATGCTTTAATAACGATCATTCACTCCTACACATTCTAGTCTAACTCGAACAACTTAACCGAAAAAATTGCTTAACATGTTGAAGGTAGCCTTAGTAATAATAGCAAACGAATGTTTACCTTTCATATACATTAATATTAAATCAAGACTATGAACGTGGCACGTTTTTTGCAAAAGAAATGAAAAAAGACATGATGT